AAACAGGATCATGTTGGTCCAGGAGTTTGAAGTGAGCTATGATGATACCATGGCACTCTACCCAGAACAACAGAGTGAGACTCTGTATCAAAAAAAAAAAAAAAAAAAAAAAAAGAGCACATAGAGTACAAATAATAAAATAGTACACCTAAGTCTAAACATACCAATAATTACATTATTGGTGTAAATGGTCTAAATACAACCATCAAAAAAGAGATTGTCAGATGGTATTAATACTACCATAACCCAAATACATGCTATCTAGAAGAAACTGACTTCAAATATAATTGTATAGGTAAATTAAAAATGAAAAGATGAAAATATACTGGATAAACCCTAATCAAAAGAAAGCTGGGCTCTTTTCCTCCCTGGCTGCCTGAGGATCACCCACCATCATGAATGACCCAGTAATTATCCAGACCAGGAAGTTCATGACTAACTGACTACTTCAGAGGAAACAAATGGTCATTGATGTCCTTCACCCTGGGAAGGGAACAGTACCAAAAACAGGAATTAGGGAAAAACTGGCCAAAATATACAATATCACACCCGATGTCATCTTTGTATTTGGATTCAGAACTCACTTTGGTGACAAGACAATAGGCTTTGGCATGATTTACGATTCCTTGGATAATGCAAAGAAAAATGAACACAAACACAGACTTACAAGGCATGGCCTGTATGAGAAGAAAAAGACCTTAAGAAAGCAGGAAGGCTCGGCGCCTGTGCCTCAAGTTGCTAAAGTGCCAGCCACATACACTTAAGCTGGCAGGTTCGAATCCAGCCTGGGCCCGCCAAACAACAATGATGGCTGCAACCAAAAAATAGCTGGGTGTTGTGGCGAGTGCCTGTGGTCCCAGCTACTTGGGAGGCTGAGGCAGGAAACTTGAGACTAGGAGTTTGAGGTTGCTGTGAGCTGTGATGCCCCAGCACTCTACCCAGGGTGACAGCTTGAGGTTCTGTCTCAAAAAATATTTAAAAAAAAAAGAAAGTAGTGAAAGGGACACAAGAACAGAATGAAGAAAGACAGGGGAATTGCAAAAGCTAACGTTGGTGTTGGCAAAAAGTGAGCTGGAGATTGGATAACAGGGGAAAGAGTAAAGACTCTACAGTGATGTTATCAGCAGCCATTGTATAGATTTTTCACAAGAGGATTAATACAGACTCTTCATGTGAAAAAAAAAGAAAGCTGGCTACATTAACATCAGACAAAATGGACTTCAGAGCGAAGAAAATTACTAGGAATAAAAAGGGACATGGCGTAATGATAAAAGGATTAATTCACCAAGAACACATAAACCCTAAGTGTGTGCGCATTTAACAACAGAGCTTCAAAGTACATGAAGCAAAATCTAACAAAAGTGAAAGAAATAGATAAACTTATAATTACAGCTGGCTAATTTAACACACCTCTCTCAGTAATTGATAGAATTAGTAGACAGAAAAACAGCAGAAATGTAGAAAAACTAAACAGTGCATCAATCAACTGGAATCAAAAGAAATTCCCATCATTAGGGGAATGGTTGACTAAGTCGTAATAAATCATATGCACAAACTGGGCTGCAACATACTACACAGCTCCAAAGGTTCTCACACATTAACTTTGAGTTGTGTGGTACATAACGTGCTTAAATGTATGTAATGATCCTGACCACCCTATAGATCAGCAGTTCTCAACCTGTAGGTCACGACTCACAGGAACTGTATTAAAGGACCGTGGCATTAGGAAGGTTGAGAACCACTGCTATAGATTGTTATGCTTTCTCCTTAGGAAGAACAAATAGTTCCCTTGGAGTGGTTTCACTATTTTTGAAGAAAAAAAGCAATATGTAGAACAGCATACATAATGTAATCTCATTTTTCTAAGACAAACAGTAACAGATGCATATATATGTACGTATGTGTATGTGTGTTGGAATATCAACTATTTGAAAATACTGGTTAATGCGGGTTTTGCGATCAAAGTCTCCTCTGCCTCAAATGCTTTTATCACAGGTCCTTGTGCTACGGGCTTCCTTTCATCTGAGATAGACTGTGTTTTGTCTATCCACCAGACCCCTTCCTCACCACAGAATGCTCAGTTTGGTTGGGAGAGCAACATATTAACATAAAATACTGCTCTCCCAGCCTCCATTATAGCCATAGGAATGATACAGTTCTGGCCAGTGGGATATAAGAAGACAATACTGGGATGGTCTCCTAGGAAACTTATTTAAAAGAGCAAAACCAGCTGGCATCCTCAACCATCCCTATTCCTTTGTGAATATTCTGGCCATGAAAGTGGCCAGAAGCTAGAGCCAAGTTTCTCAAAATGTGCTTCCCAGATCAGCAGTCTCAATATCACCTGGGAACTTATAAATGCAGATTATCGGGCCCCAGCCTCAACACACTGAATCAGGTGCTAGGTGGACCCAGCATCTGTTTCAGCAAGCCTTTCAGGTGATTCTTATACTTGCTGAAATTTGAAAGCCACTGAGCCAGAAGATAGAAGCCACCTTTTAGAGATGACCTAGAAGTTGGATGACGCTAGTATACCTACCACATCCTGGAGCCACTACGCCAGATTTGGACTGCCTCCTCTGGATCTGCAGTGCTGTGAAAAAGTCATCCCTATTTGGGTAAGCTACTGTTGTTGGGTTTCTGCTACAAGCAACTGAATGTAATTCTAATTGACAAATCACTGCTTAACTCTCAGCTAAAACATTATCTCCTTAGAGCAGCCTTCCCTGACTACTCTGCTTACACCTTTTATCCCCACCAAATGCCTTCTCTGTCATTCCACCCTATGCGTTTTCTTTATAATACTCATCACGTCCCAAAATTTTCCCAGTCACTTGCTGTTTATATGCTATGGTTTCTTTGCGCTGTAAGAATATAAGTTTCATACCTGAGAGTCTTTTTTCCCTGCCATACTCCAGCACATACTGACGTGACTGGCACATAACGGATGCTTCATAATTATTACGGAATATTTAAAGAAACTTAAAGTTATAAATTCCACTTAAAACTATGTACCTTTAAGCATTCAAATAAAAAATGATTCATAACATATGGTTTCACAATTTTCAGGGGAAAATTTTAGTTGAAAAAGTAACACCCATGGGCCACACCTGTGGCTCAAAGGAGTAAGGTGCCGGCCCCATATGCCAGAGGTGGCAGGTTTAAACCCAGCCCCGGCCAAAAACCGCAAAAAAAAAAAAAAAAAAAGTAACACACATGAACACTTGCCGCCTTACTTTTCAGTGACCTAGCTATTCTAAAACCATAAACAAGTAAAGTAGATATGTAAACATTCAAAGCTCCACAGAAATGAACTACGTGAATTCAGTATCTCTTTGGAAACTTTATTTTTCCATCAGCATTATTTTGACTTGTTTAATAACAGAATTTCATATAACATTTAAACACAAAAATTCAAATAAAAATAAAAGTCTGGTCAGTTTTATAGTGCATGTCACAAGACATGCGCAATTAGGTTTTAACCTGGGAGGAAAGACATTCCTTCACTCACTTTGCTGCTTCTAGTAATCGCAAGTTTGTCTCATATTGCAAATAACCGAGGCTTTCTCTGGCACAAGCACGTGCAGGGACATCTGAGTAAGGGATACAGATTGGGAGTTCTCTAAAAATGAGCCTGGGGTCTCGGGACTCTGCTACGGAAGTGAACCAAGGAATCTCAAAGCTCCTACAACAGGAGAGGTGAATTACCTTTCTCTTACCTTTACCTCATATAAAACTGCTGTGGTCAACCTTTGGAAATCCATATCCCTTGATCTTTTCTTTTAAACTCTTATGCCACATTTAAGAAAATCATATAAATAATTTTGTCAATGAAGGACAAAGCAGTCAATGAGAGGAAGTATAGTGTACTATAGAAGAGGTTTAGTACACTCAGATCCCTGTCCACTTTTTCTTGAGGTTCTATTAGGATCTAGATGGACAACCGCTAGGGGAAAAAAGGCAGCAAAACACGCCAGAGGGAGAATGAGGGGCTGCTAAGGAAAAAAGAAGCCCTGAGAGTTGCCAAGATCATTGCCTCCCTCACACAATTAGGACAGATGTGATAAGATTAGAATTTCCTGGAAGTCCCTTCCAAATACTTGTAGGCATAAAGGTTTCATGTCAGTCGCAAACTTTCATCAAGTGCAAACTTTTCAGAAGGCTTCAGAAGCCAACGTTAGCCCAACATGGTAGATTTCCCTTTTTTTCTTTTTCAGTGAAATAACCTTTTTAGGCAGGGCTCCTCAAACTTTTTAAACAGGGGGCCAGTTCACTGTTCCTCAGACCATTGGAGGGCCGGACTGCGGGCCCTGGGAGGAGGCAAAAACACCCGGTGGGCCGGATAAATGTCCTAGGCGGGCTGCGTGTGGCCTGCAGGCTGTAGTTTGAGGACGTCTGTTTTTAGGTTACCATCTGAGTAACATCTACCTGAAATTACATCAGAACCAGCATCGAAAGTACCAGCCTTACTTTCATAATTACAACATTCTGTAAGTCTGGGTTCTTCCTCCTAAAACTGCATTAGAATTGTCTGGGTGCTTATTGAAAATAAAGCAGCGTCTGGAGCTCTGCGCCCACAAATTTTGCTTTAATAGGTTTTGGGCAGGATAGGGGAATCTATAGTCTCAACAAGGCTCTCCAGATATTCTAATGGAGATGATGTGAAGTCCACAATTTGAAAAACATCAGCCTTAGGGGGAAAGGCCAGAATTGCTTCTTTTTCAGAATAAGACTTAACAACTGACAGTGACCCAAAACAGCCAGACTTCCCAAGGATTCTCTATGAAGAGGTCTCTGGTGAAGAGTTCATCTAAATTCATCCTCAAAGACCAGGGGAGTGAGCCTCCATAGTGCCCACCTCTATAAGTGAATCAGAAATGGGGCTCAGCACTTGACTGGATTTTAGAGCAAGCACCAAAATCCCAAGGTACCAGAAAAGCCTTGATTGCTCCTGGTCTAGGGACCCCCAGCACGGTCTTTGCCTTGTCTCTTCCTCCTTTTCACTGATACCGGACTAAGGAAGCCAAATAGACCCACACAGATAATATGTTATTTGGGTAGGAGTGAATGTATACAGCTAAAGCAAATTCTGTCTGGGGAAATTCAGAAGAGTGAATTCCAGTTTGATACACGGCATCAATAACTGACTGTAGATCCGTGTATGGCATCTGGATGGGAAATCCTACAACCTGGATCAAAGACAGAACAACACATAAGCCCACATTATAATTAGGTAATCAGGAATTATCATACACAAAAAGATCACAGAAGTTTCAAAGAAATGGCAGTCAAAAAATAATTTTTTGTGAGTTGTAAGTGCAATTAAATGTTTCACATACATATTTAACCCTCGAACAAGCCTATGATGTAGGCACTATTAAACTCCCTCTTGACTTTTACAGGTCATAGGAGCAAAGCCAGGTCTACCTGATGCTAGAGCCTAGCCTGCACATTTAACATTCCACATACTTGCACCCTTTCTAGACAGCAAACTCCTAACAGGAAATTACTTGGTCCTATGTTTGAGCGATTTAAGTGAGAACTTTTAAAGAATTTCTTCAATATTGGTTCCATTTATATTTACTAAGTAACTAGTATGTAATAAGATTAGCAGATCATGGAACATGATTGTATGCCAAATTATTTAATAATACAGAGCAACAATCATAAGCCTCTTTCAACTTTATACTGCTTAGGAGGACTTTTTTGACCCTTAAATATGTTTGCATACTCTTTCCGTGTGGTTGTATGGAGCATTTTCCTTCTTCAAGCTTATTTAGCAAAATATATTGCAAGTATATCTTTTCTAGTCTAAGTATTCGTTATCTCTGTGGATGCACAAGATCATATTTGCCTTGCTTACCGCCATAACTCCAGTGTCCAGCACAATGCCTGGCACGTGGAATAAAAACAAAGGATAGCATTTCCTAAGCCCTTATGAGGTTTGGGGCACTATGCTATGTAGTAACTTACACAATCCTCAACAAAATGACCAAACTAATTTTATCCCTGTCATCCAGTGGGGTGAAATGTGTAATCAGATTAGGTAGCTTGCTCTAGATCAAAACTAGTGAGTAGTTAAGTCAGGATTTGAACACAGGCAGCATGATTCAGTCCAGGTTTACTATTACTGACTATATTATTAAATAGTTGATAATTTTACATCAGAATCCTAAGTTTTAAATTTTGGCTCGTATTTAACTATGCTTTGCTTAACTCTTTACCCCAAAATCTATTAAAAATAAAGTGAAACAAAAACAACTACTCATGAACTAATAATGCCAGCTGATCCCTTACTGGGGGCCTTTGCACTCAACTCCCAACAGACTTCCACTTGGGGACACCTTCCAGGATATTGGATGGTAAAGAGAAGCAGGAGCCTTACTCTCAGGAGGCTGGAGTTTTCAAAAACCTACTAGACAAGTTCATATAGGTGGATGAAAGGAAAAAGGAGGTGAAAGGATACCCAGAGCTGAAGGTAGGGTAGGAAAAGGAAAAGAGAACCCTAAGAATATACTAGATGCCTGCCATGTTCGATTATGGGCTTGTTGAGTTTGAGATGCCTTTTTACCACCCAGAAAAATGTCAATGGGCTGGTTAATATGTAAGAGAAGAGGTCAAGAAGAAGTCCAAGCCAAAGTGTAAATTTGGGAGTACAGGCAGCCCTCCACGTTGGACAGCTCTGCATCCCATCCACAGATTCAACCAATTGAAGATTGAAAGTATTTGAAAAAAATAAGAAATAACAATACAACAATAAAAAATAATGTGGATAAAAAACAGTATAACAACTATTTACATAGCATTTACATTATATTAGGTATTATAAGTAATCTAGAGATGATTTCAAGTATACTAAAGGATGTGTATGGGTTGTATAGAAATAATATGCCATTTTATATGAGGGACTTGGAGCATCCGTGAATTCTGGTATTCATGGAGGTCCAGGAACCATTTGTCCTAGCTGACTATAATTTACATATAAAAGATATTAGGCTGCTCTGCAGTCCTCTTGCCCAAAACCAATGACAAGGAATCCAATCTATTATTAGAGATCATCTTTTAGTTTCTTAGTTATAGGGTGGTTTCCTTTTGAGTATCTCTTTCCAAAGTCTATAGTTCATACATCATAAAACATGCAACCAGTTTCAAGAAAATCCCAAGCAATGAGGTCCTGGTAATAACTGTTCACTACATTTGAACAATTATTCTTGGTCTGTAAGTAAATGCATTTTAATGTTATAACATCTATCTTCCAGGATCAAGATTAAAAGGCATTTTCAGAGATATTTTTAAGATTGCTATAATTTAGCAATAAACATAGATAAAAACAATGTCATTAATGCATTAAATTATATACAAACCCAATAAAGTTGTAGTAATTTTTCAAATTCACTCTCTTCCTCAGATGAAGCAAACCTTTCCATGCCAAGTTCTAGCTTAGGAAGGATTTGTCGTAAAATAGAAGTACATTGTCGATTCCAACGTGTTGGGTGTTGAGATCGCCATTCCATCATTTTACACTTTAGCGTTCTTTCAATCCTAAGATTACAAAGATAATTTTGACAAATTTCAACCCGTCTAGTAAGTATGATAATAGTTTTGTCACTTTTATTCAAGTATGAGAATGACTTTTTGGACTTAGGAGGAAATCATATTTCTATCGGTGTCTGCTACCATTTATATTAATCAAGTCGGGGAACAGTAGTCTTGGCTTGGGAAGGTAAGAAGCTTCCTAAAGTAGCCAGAAATTAGCTCTCTAAGGCACATCTCTTTTCCAGTTACCTGTGTGTGGAAAGCTGCCTGTAGGATACAGCATAGGGTTAAAAGTGCTAGGCACTAGGGACAGAGGGATCTGGGAAAAAGCCAACTATCACGGCTGGCCCTGAGTACTAAAAACAAAACTCACTAGACACAGTATACTGTCCCAACCCTGAGTCATATACTAATGGTGATAAGAAAAAGGCAAGACAGAAGTACAGTAAACAGAGTGTGTTAAGAGTTTAATCATGCAGCTAAAGATAGACTACATGTTTTTTAACCTTTACCCACTCTCTGACGTTTTCTGCTGTACTATAATTTCTCATGTCTGGGATTTCAATAAAAGCCAGTGAGGGACATTGGAGGGGGCCACACCCTTGTCTCTCCTAGTGGGGGGCTTGCTGGTTTTGGCCTCCAGGGGTCCCTCAGTTCAAGGCAAATAGAGTCAGTAGGTGTTACTCATTTTGCATTAAGTCCCACGGACAGCTGCCTACTAGGTGTGATTTGATAACACCTACTATCTGATTTCTGGGTTGGCATTCCTACTCCTTTGACATAGGACATTGTGTTTCCAAGAAACTACCCTTATGAAAATTCAGATATCTGATCTGGGATCAAGTTAGTCTGCTATATCAGTTAATTTAGCAAGCAGAGCTGGGAAAAAATAAGGCACTGGTAAGGACTGTTAAGTATGAGAAGTATGAAGATCAGCTTCCCCCACTAGAATGTAAGCTCCATGAGGGTAGGTATTTTTACCTATATACTTAGCCCTAGAACAGCACCTGATGAGGAATGTGCCAGGGAGGGGAGAGAATGGGGACAAAGTGTGGATTGGTTGGTGAGGTCTTCCTGAAAAGCCTGTCTGTGCAGGCTGATCGTGTGTGGCTGATTCCCTAACTACAGTGGGTGTTACAGAAGCAGCTGCTGGGAGTCTCCTCTTGGTTGACTTTATAATGCAGTTGTAGTTTGCAGAGGGCCATGCATCAGAATCCTCTAGGTGGGGCTTTTTCAAAATGCTTCACTTCCAGATATTGATTCAACAGGTCTGGTATGGGATCATGGCTTCTGTATTTTTAAATAGTTCTAGAAGTGATTTTAATGAAAAACAAAGGTTGGGAACCATTTATCTACTGCATTTCTTTATTTTTTGTTAAGAACTTGGACATGAGGAATGGAAACAGCAGGATGTAAGGGAGAAGGTTGTATGTTAGTGAGAAAAGAAATTGGCAAAATTATTTTTATTATTTATTAATTTTTTTTTTTTTTGAGACAGAGTCTCATGCTGTCACCCTGCGTAGAGAGTTGCGGCATCACAGCCCATAGCAACCTCAATCTTGGGCTCAAACAATCCTCTTTTCTCACCCTTCTGAGTAGCTGGGACTATAGGCATCCATCGCAATGCTCAGCTAGGGTTTCTATTTTTAGTAGAGACAAGGTCTCACTGTTGCTCAGGCTCATCTCAAACTCCTGAGTTCCAGAGATCCTCCCACCTTAACCTCCCAAAGTGCTAGGATTACAGGTGTGAACCACTGTGTGAGGCCACGAAATTATTTTTGTTATGTTCTGTTTTCATTAGTTGTTGTTGTTTACAGCCAGCCTGTTGTGTGTGAGTCATTGGTGTATCTGAGTAGGAGTGAGGCCTGTTGTCAAGTCTGTGACCCTTTGGGCTTAGCTGACCAGCTTCTTAAGGCTTTTGTGTGTGTGTGTTTGGGAAGTGGGGAGCATCCAGGTGTGGAAGTACTGTTTCTCTCCCCCAGCTGGGATGATTTTATTATCCCCTGAGTCACGGGCCATTTACCTTCATGTCCTTTCAAGAGTGTTGGCTACTGAATTATTATTACCAAGGCCCAACAGGTATCTGTGTTGAGAACTTTACAACAGCCACCCACAATGTCTTCCAGAGTTAACTTACACTGTCTTTTCAAGGAATGCCCGGGATGGCTGAGGGGTCACTTTTCAATGCATGTACCAAGAAAGAAGTAGCTCCGTTGAACTAACTGTTATAATCTCCCTTTCTTGCATCTGTTAAATGTAGCAAGTGTTTTGAAAGAATGGGTCAGAGGACTGAGAGGTGACTGAACAGGAGTCAGATTAAATAAGGAGAAAACACAGTACCTGTTCTTTAGATCTTCTACCATGGCTTTGTTAGTCTCAGTATAATTTATTTCTTCAGGCTAAAATACAAACACCCCAAAGTTAGAAATATTCTAGAGAGATTATCTTTACATCACAGAGTATTAGATAAACCAAGGGTGAACACAAACAGGCTTTTGTGGCAGAAACACTTTATTCCATAAGTAAAATACCGACCACAGCATTTCCTTTGATTTCTATACTGCCTCACCAGTACAGGGGAGTGGGAATGGGCTTACAAAAGGAGATATTTTTCATGGGCAAGACAGCCTGCTATCCCCATTCACTTATTCAGATAAGCATGTGGCATGCTCATTGATTCTACCAAATAATCTTTGGCAACTGAACTGGTCTTTTCCCACTGTGACCCTGGCAAAGTTATTTAACCTCTCCATTCTGAATCTCAGTTACCTGATTTTTTAAATAGGGGCAATAACATGCTTACTGCTTTGAGGTCTTTGAAGGTTTTAAAATAGAGTAATACATGTAAAGCCTGGTACATATGGAATGCTAAACAAACATCAGACATCATCAGTACTCTTCTAACAGGGTTTATCTTTTTCTGTCTTTGATTATTTGTTTCTTTCAGCTGTCAGGATCCAGTTCTTTATGTTTGCATGTATGCGCACATGTGTTCTCTCTCTCTCTCACACACACATAAGCCATTTCAACTTACCTGTCTCTAAGCCTTTGCTCCAGGCACCACCCCTCAACAGTAAGGGCATGCCCTTCCATGTACCCTACGTCCACTACCCAGGCAGGATTTGCTGGGAGAAAGGGAGAACTTCTCAAATCCCCTACCCCCTCCCTACGACTCAATCCTCCTCTTCTTGCAGGGCCCAGATGAACAAGAGTGAGGGGCTAGGGCTTAGCTAGTTTTTACTTTGGATTTTCCTGAGCTGAAGAAGAGACAGTTATAGAAACAGGGACAGGTTTGCTTCCCCATCATGAGTGGAAAGAGGGCTGCACACAAAGGGGACAACACTTGATAGGTCTCTAGTGTCCTCATATGTGGTCCCCAGACCTCAGACCTCGAGTTCCAGACCTAGGAACTTGTTAGAAACACAAATTCTTGGCCCTCATGTCAGATCTACTGAATCAGAAGCTCTAAGGGTAAGGCCCAGCAATTTGATTTTAACAAGCCTTCCCAGTGGTTCTGATGCCTGTTGAGGTTGGAGAATTGTCTCAGGCACAGGGAGTTTCCCCACAGCAGAACAGGGCAGGAGACTGGAGATACTGAGAAAGGGAAGGATGAACTCTGGCGTCACTTGCAGAGCTTGGCAGCTATCCCAGACAGGACAGGTAGACTGAATTCCCTGTTGCTGTCACCAACAGCTGTCCACTATCTACAGGAGGCTCCTGTGAATTAGTTAGGCTACCTTCAGGCCTGCAAAAGAAGCCTGGGTTATGCTGACTTGATATGTTAATGGCGAGTTTGTCCACTTTTCTTTTCTGGCAAAGGCCCCTTTCCTTCAGGGAACTCATGTCCTTCAAAACTTGAAGAGGGTTTCCCTGTTAACCCCATCCCTGAATACCCACATTCTCATCACACATTCACATTGATGTTCTTAATTGAGTGTAATAAACAATGTTCACTCTAGATCATAGTTTATTCTGGGTTATATGTGGGAAAGCAGAAGACGGAGGGCCATTAACCCATGGGAGGGAAACCAGTAGAGATGCAAGTCAAACACCACTGTGAGTTTTCTGTTTATAGATTCAACTTGGGAAAGGTGTTAGTTCCTGCACCCTGTCAGAATAGCTTTTAAAAACACACTTTTGACCATGGCAAGTTTTGCCTTAGTGGTGCTGGCAACTGACTTTCCTGAGGATGAAGGGCTGTACTCCCACTGGCAGCAGCAAGTCTGGCCTTCAGCCCCCGGGCAGACATCTCCCAGCCACTACAGGTCTTCCTGCTTGCTGCTGCCGCTCTCTGCTGTGACTTTCTCCTCTTTGACTTTCATCTAGGCCAGCTCCTTCTCCCCCTTCCTCACTCAGCGAGTCATCATTTTTTCCCAGGAAGCCGCTGCAACTGCCCCTCCTTCGCGTCCTCCGGCAGGCGCCTGCTCCCAAACGCCATCCCTTTCTTCCCCAGCAGCATTTATCACTTTGTACTGTGTGCGCTCGCTTCCTTTGTTTCCTCTTCTAGAACCCGGGTTCCAAGAACAGCAAGACGTATCTTTTCCCCTGTGTTATCTACACCTAACACAGCGCTGGCTCATAGCTGAGATCAATAAACATCATTTGAATAAATAAGAGAATGGTTATATATTAAATAAACCAAACTCTTGTCTCTAAACAGGTTGTTTACCCCCATGGAGGCAGCAATGCTTTGGTCACAGCTTTGGGATGTGAAAGCAAGGCTTTAGAGGCTGTCAATGTCTGCTCAAGAAAGATAAGCACACTTCCCTTCTCTAAAATAACTTTCAAAGGGGAAATATAAAAATATGTATACATGCTTGCGTCTGCATGGAGACTGTTAGAAGCATGCCCCCAAACACTGATAGTAGTTATAGTTATTTCTTCCAGCGAGGGAAAGCGGTGTTGCAGGAGAGAGTATTCACTTTATACCCTTGAGTATTCTTTAGTTTCTTCTCCCATAGCCCCCACGCATTCTTTTTGATAGTGTGAATTGCCTCAAATATACAGATAAGCATAGAGTAAGGAGAGCCATCCAGCATACCAGCTCCTCAGCTGTATCTGATCTTTGCATTCTTCCATATTTGTTTTAGATTTTAAAAAAATAAGACACTACAGCCAGACTTTAAGTACTCGGTATACTGCTCCCTGATATTGTTTTCGTTGTTGTTGTTCTTTCCGCAAAGGTAACTTCTAAACTGAACCTGGTATTTCTCATCTCCATAAATGCTTTTATACATTGCTATCTATTTACATATACATGCATAAACGATATATAGTTTTCAAACTTCATATAAATTTTTTGTACTGTATGTGTCATTTTGTATCTTTTTATTTTGCTTAACATTACATTTTAAAATATTCATTCATGTAGATACACACGGTTCTAGGCCAGTGGTTCTCAACCTTGGTTGCATATTGCAATCAACTAATTTAAAAATTACTGATGTGTGGTACCACTCTCGGAAAATCTGATGTAATGCATGTAAAGTCAAATCAAGAACTGCTATAAATTGATTTACTTGGTCATCTTTTACTGCTGTATAGAAGAGTTCATTGTATAGGTACTTCATACAGTTCATGTACCCATTTTCCAGTTTATGAATTATTTTAATTTTTTGTTATTTTAAGCAATTCTATAACGAACATTTTGTACTTGTCTTCATGTGAATGCTCCTCTAGCAAGAATGTCCGCCAACCTTTTTTCCCCCTTTTGCCTATTGGAAGAAGAGTTGTCTTGGGGCACACATTAAAAATACAAACACTAATGAAAGCTAGTGGGTAAAAACATGGTCCGTGCTTAATTTTTGTAATATCTAAGACCACGGATAAGCAAAATAAGCTTCAAGTAATTTGCATGTGGCCTGCAGGCCACAGGTTGGCCATCCCTTTGAATATAGGGTATATATGTAAACGTCTGAGCTGGTGGATTAAGGCTGAGCATCTTCAACTTTATTGGATCTCACCACATTGCTTTCCAATGTGTTTACAGCAATTTATGCTCCCCCCATTTCTCTACCTCTTTGCCAACATTTGGCAAAATGTATGGTCACAAAATTTTTGCCAGTTTTATGCATGCAAAATAGTTTTATTTCTCATTAAACTATTAATAGTTTAAATTGTATTTCTCTGATTATGGGTGAGGTTGAACATTTGAGTTTTTGCTTCTGCGATGACTTTTCCTATTTTTCTATTTTCTCCCTCTTTTCCCCCTATCCTTTCTCACCCCCCCACCTTTGGGCTTCCAGCTCCCAATTTGTAGACTCTGCAATTGCCTGAACCCGGCCATACCATGGCCTTCAATCCAGAAATAGCGACTGACACGTCAAAGCACTACTGAATATATCACAGGTCCACTGGCCAAGCCATGTAGTGGTTGGGTTAGTTCCTGTTCCTCTTCCTTCCATGCCCCAGGCAGTGAGTCTACAGCTTTTCCTCCCAACTTATTTCAAAAATACGAGAGTAGCGGAGCCCTCATCACAGTCCCTGGCTTCACAAAGTGATGTCTGCTCTTGTTCCTTATCTTTCAGGAAGCATTTTCAGACCTTGCTGCTATCCCTGCTTCAGCCCTACTCGCTGCTAGTATTTCTCTCTTGTTTATATTACATGAGATAATTATCATGGTTTGGGGCCCAGATAAGTCTTTTTGTTTGCTAGTTTTTATATCTGATCATGACCATGGATGTGAAGGAGGAGGACTAGGTCAAAACAATAACTTAAATATCTTTTCTATTTTTATTTTTTTTTGAGACAAAGTCTCAAGCTGTTACCCTAGGTAGAGTGCTGTAGCATCACAGCTCACAGCAACCCCTTGGGCTTAAGCAATTCTCTTGCTTCAGCCTCCCAAGTATCTGGGACTAAAGGCACCCACCTCAACACTCGGCCTTGTTGTTGTTGTTGCAGTTGTCATTGTTGCTTTAGCTGGCCGGCTGGGTTCAAACCCACCAGCCTCGGTGTATGTGGCCAGTGCCCTTCCCACTGAGCTGCGGGCACCACCCTGCCTTTTTTTGAGACAGAATCTCACTCTTTTGCCCTGGGTAGAGTACTGTTGCATTTTGACTCACAGCAACCTCAAACTCTTGGACTCAAGCAATCATCTTGCCTCAGCCTCCCAGTAGCTGGGACTATATGCACTTGCCATGATGCCTGGCTAGTTTGGGGTTTTTTTTTCTCTGTTTTTAATAGAGATGGGGTCTTGCTCTTGCTCAGGCTGGTTTCCACCCACCTCAGAGTGCTACGATTACAGGTATGAGCCACCATGCCCAGCCAATACTGTATCTATATTAAACATTATATGCTATGCTTTGTAATAAAATTTTTAAATATATATATGTGTGTGTGTGTATATATATATATATATATATACACATATATAGTTTTTTTCTTTTTTGGAGATAGAGTCTCACTGTGGCACCCCCAGAGTACCATGGTGTCATAGTTCACAGCAACGTTAAACTCTTGAGCTCAAGTGATTCTCTTGCCTCACCCTCCCAAGTAGCTGAGACTACAGGCACCCACCACAACGCCCTATTATTTTTAGAGATGAGATCTCACTCTGGGCTCAGGCTGCTCTCAAACTTGTGAGCTGAGGATCCACCCACCTGGGCCTTCCTGAATTATAGCGTGAGCCACTGAACCTGTCCTGATAAAATTTTCTAAATTCTATTTTAACATCAAAATTCACATTTGAGATGTCACTTTCTTCTCAATTTCTTTTTCTTGCAGGTAGAAGAAAGAGGCCAAAGTAGCCAAACATGAGCTGGATGGCAGAGAAAGCTCTCTTTTTGATCAGCATTACCAAATAATTCAAAAAGTAATCAACTGCAAACCATAGCAAGTGCTGTCATAATTAGTAAAGATTAGAAGCAATGGTAACCTAGAAAATATGATTTACCTGAATACTTTGTACTTTTGTCTCTGGGAAATTTTTTGGCAGCAACTGTTTCCAGAAACTTTCCTTTGAATAGTCAAAATGGACAGCCATTGGTATATTATTTTGTTGAATATTAAACCAGACCTATTAAAACATTAACATAAAATCATTATAGGTCCATAGAACACAAGGTCCATAGTTGGTAAGGATGAAGCAAAATTTTAAGTCTTACTTCCAATGAAGTGGCAGAAGCCAAGGGAGGTTCTGTGGCAGAAGACAGATATTCCACACTTTTGTGATCACCAGACTACCTCATTGATTCTCAACCTTGAAGACACTACAGACCCACGGGAAGAGTCTCAGGGATAAAAGATTGCCCAGACCCCATATCCTGGGAATTCTGATTGGACCCTTAAATTTTCTCCGAAGTTCCCCAGGTATTTCTAATGTGCAGCCAGAGTGACTCTTGAGAAGATAACTCAAACTAAGATTTTCCTTCATATACTTACATTTCTATCATCAAACAAACAGTCTACGCTTTGTAAGGGACAAAATGGGTCAAACTGATTGTGATGTTGCCCAGTTGATGGATTCCAAAGCAAATATTCATCAGTTTCTTGAGTTAATACATAAGCCACATGTCCCTGTGTGAGGGAGGAAACAGAGTTGAAGTCATTTGTGGTGGATTTAATTGACTTCTGTATGTGGAAATTGTAACGTGATGATTCTAATTCTTAAGTCTTTTTTAGAGCTTTTTAACTTTTTGAAAAGAAGAAGAAAAAAACGTAAGGTCCAGAAATCCTCAGGCCTTGCTTAGCATGAAAATTCAGATGAGAGAGAGAACTTGTAAGCCAGTGCTGCTGTGTGTGGTCCTATAGTGTGTGGTCCTATAGTTGCCCTGAAGGCAATAGAATATACTATTCTAACGAAATCAATATATTATGATGATTTCCCAACAGACAGTACTAAAGCATGTTGAGGTATGGGCATTTTTGTTTAATTCATACAAGGTGCTATATGGACAGGTCCTGCTCTGATTAGAATATAGGTGGAGACAAAGGGTGAACATCATGCAGAATTAGGAAATGGAAACTGACTTAAGGCTTTGATAAAACCAAGTGAACATAAAAGCCATTAACTTGGCTCGGCGTCTATAGCTCAACCGGCTAAGGCGCCAGCCACGTACACCTAAGGTGGCGGGTTCGAATCCCCAGCCTGGACCCGCCAAAACAACAATGACGGCTGCAACCAAAAAATAGCCGGGCGTTGTGGCAAGCACCTGTGGTCCCAGCTACTTGGGAGGCGGAGGCAGGAGACTCGCTTGAGCCCAGGAGTTGGAGGTTGCTGTAAGCTGTAATGCCACGGCACCCTACCCAGGGGGACAGCTTGAGGCTCTGTCTCAAAAAAAAAAAAAAAAAAGCCATTAACTTAAATTTAAGAATAAGATTTAGAATTAGAGGCTAAAGAGAAAGGGTACAGGAAACTAGTCTGAGGAATAAAAGAAAGTCATTATGCTATTATTTTTCTCTGCACATACGTTTTGCAGTGTAACCCTTTCTTGACAAATCATGCAATTTTCAGGTAATAAGAATAATAAGACCATTTAACACTGTTGAGTATTTATGTGTACCGAGTGCTATACTAAGAATTCACCCTAACTTTCTCACTTTAATTCATTCCAAATTTTGTGAGGTGGGGATGGTTATTATGCCCACTTTTCAGATAAAGAATCAGAGGCTAAGGGACCTGTCTAGAGTAACAGTAAATGGCTTTATTCTTGCTTTGTGAGGGTATAACTGAGCCTCAGAGGAGTAAACAAGGCTGAGTCCATACAGTTAGTAAGTGGCATTGCTACGTTTAAAGCCCCTGTCACTGACTGCACCCCAACCCATATATTTAACACTCTACTGTGTAGCTGGTTGCTCTAACTTCTTCCCCTCAACCACACACAACTGAGGGGCAGCCCTGTGTGGTTGTCTATGGTCGTGTTTTTCAGAGAGGTACAGATGCAAATGTCTGTCAAACATTGTTGACTGTCTACTGCCATCTAGTGGCACTTATAACTACAGCAGGGGATTATACTGTAGGAATTGACCATAGCATAGGCTTTTTTTTTTTTTAGTGAACATTCTTGACAAAGAATTAATAAGGGAATATAGGGAAACAAATGATCATGACAGAACTCATGAGTCAAGACTGGAAATGTTGACACTTAGAAAGACACTCATGGTAGAGCTAGAAACAGTCCAAAAAGAACGCTTTCCTGGAGGTATGAATGCAGAAGAATATAAATTAAGTTATAACAATTTCGGATAGATAAATAGGAACTTCTGGCCCACTTCTTATAAGATTAAAACCTGGGTAATGTGGCATGAATAGAACTGTTTTTATAAATGTTTTTAAAATATAGTCATTAGAAACATATGGTGGATTATAGCCACCATAAATACACCATAACCACCAGCAGCACCACCATTTACTGAGTATTTGCCATGAACAGCTGCTATTCTCAGGGCCTTGTAAGATTAGGCAATTTAATATTCCCAACAACTACATAAGATTGAGCTCTTTTTAGTTCTATTTTACAAAATAGAAAACAAAAGGAAGTCATTATTTTACATTGTAGAAATTTTGATGAAATAGTTATCTTCGTCATAATTGCCCATGAAATTACAAATTAGCTTGTAAAGAGATAAAAACTCGGAGTTGAAGTCCTGAACTTGCAGCTAAAATCTGATTTGGTTTTGTTTACATTATTTCAGTATGAACTCCAGTACTTACTTCTAACACTGATGTTCCCAGTAGGACCAATGCCTTCTTCCCAAAATACAGAAAGAAATTACAGAGAAGTATGGCATGTTCCTCCTTATTTCCAAGGGCCAAAGTGATGACGCGCTAAGGCAAGACAAAAGCAACAAGGACAAGAAAAAGAAAGAAAGAAAGGAAAGTCATATAATGCAAGCATCCACCAGATTTAGGGCCCCTCTACTTCCTCAAGTTCCTAGCATATTTCTGTTTGCCAAATTGCTAAGATGACAGCAAATCAGACAGCTCTGCTTTTTCTAGGGCATTAGAAACAGAACATTGGTGTTATCTTTATCACGGGCACTTCATATAGCTACCACAGAGTAACCAGATAACTTATACCTGATATGGAACATTTTTGTTTAGGACAAATATTAAACTGCCCTGGGCAAACAGGGACACATAGACTAGTATTTTGAAGAATCTTATCTGAGAAGGAATCTGTTTGAGAGGAAATGATTTTGGGGCCATGGAGCTACATCCTGTCCTGTACTCTGAATGCAAAGAGAGGAAGAGATCCGAGTTGGATCCCAATGAAAGAACTCTACAGCTGAGCTATGTGTAATAGATCAAATATTGGATGCCTAGTAACACACAGCAAAGGATAATATTTTTTTTGAGACGGAGCCTCAAGCTGTCCCCCTGGGTAGAGTGCCGTGGCATCACAGCTCACAGCAACCTCCAACTCCTGGGCTCAAGCGAGTCTCCTGCCTCCGCCTCCCAAGTAGCTGGGACCACAGGCGCCCACCACAACGCCCGGCTATTTTTTGGTTGCAGCCGTCATTGTTGTTTGGCGGGTCCAGGCTGGGGATTTGAACCCGCCACCTTAGGTGTACATGGCTGGCGCCTTAGCCAGTTGAGCTATAGGCACCGAGGCCAGAACTTTTTTTTAAAAATGGGAAATTTCATATAAAATTCTGAAATTCTGCCTTCTGTTGAAAAAATAGGAAATACTCTAGCAAATACATGGGCCCAAATATTGATACGGCAACCACCTGTTGTTGCCAAGTAGCAGTTATACCATTTAGATGGGACATGCGTTTTCCAGTTTGTTACAGTCCCAGAGAAGGGGCTGTGGTAGGCAGGGAGCTGTGGGTAGGACTGAGGGAGCTAGCAGGCTCCTGGCAGTGATGATATAATGATCAGTGTGGAAGCATTTCAATGTTTTAACAACCGATGTCACCATGTCAATATGCACTGGCTGAATGTTATGGTAAGGGATGGGAGTTAGGGAAGACGGTAAGTAGGTCCTTCTGAAAGAAAAGTGTCAACAGACAGCTAAGGGTAGAATAAGAACAGTCTCTTCAATGTCAATCCAGGGAAGTTCCCTTAACTGGATTTTATAAAAGGAGGCAGGAGAAGGGAGAACTCCACTTTCCTGACTTCTAGAAGCTTTGCTTATGTTATTTCACTTAGTCCTTTCAAACTCCTGTATACACAGATGAAGAAATTGAGGTCAAAAGAAGTTACATAATTTATTTTAGGTTAAACAGATATCAAGTCATTTAACTAGGATTTGAACACTGGTTTGTTTGACTCTAAATACTGAATTTTAGGTGGGAGAAAAATAACTTGTCGGCTCAGCGCCCATAGCACAGTGGTTACAGTGCAAGCCATATGACTGAGGTTGGCAGGTTCAAAGCTGGCCTGGGCCAGCTAAACAACAATGATACTACAACAAAAAAATTTCCGGGTGTTGTGGCAGGCACCTGTAGTCCTAGCTACTTGGGAGGCTGAGGCCAGAGAATTGCTTACACCCAAGAATTTGAGGTTGCTGTGAACTGTGACGTCACAGATCTCTACCCAGGGTGACATAATGAGACTCTGTCTTCAATAATAATAATAACTCTTGTTTTATGAAATCTAATCAACCACACACATCACTGAATAGATAGAATGAACAATTTTTATAGTGCCATAAAGTGACTATAACCAAGAATAAGATGCTTTAAAATAAGTAAAAGAATAAACTTGGAATGTCCTAACACAAAGAAATGATACATGCCTGAGGTGATGGATACCCTAATTACCCTGATTTGATTAATACATATTGTATGCCTATATCAAAACACATGTACTCCGTAAAGATATACAACTATTATGTGTCCATAATAATTAAACATCTTTTTAAAAGCAAAAAAGTACAAACAAACTAACAAAAAATACAAAAAAAAAAAAAAAGAGTTCATGTCACTGGGAAGACATTAACCAAGAGGAATCCCAATCCTATAGTAACCTTTTAGTTATAGGTATTACTTTGATTGAGGAGACTCAGGAATACTAGTATTTGCCTGAATGGCTCTTTTAGCTCAGCCTCATTCAATGTTCTGTAGCATCATAATGCCCTTGAACACATTCTAATTAGTTGAGAGTCTCAGAAGAGTCTAGAATGAATGATACCTTTCTGAGTTCTACCAAATTTGAATCACTGGATCTTAGACCAAAACTGTAGGTTTATGTCTTCCTCAGACCACTTCACAGGGCACCTGACCTATTAAGTTATCCCTGTGCCTCTTTAAACTCAGTTTAGCTCACACCCAGCCCTAAAATATTCTAGATAAGTGTCAGGACTATCGGTTCCAAAAGAAATTATCCCTCTATTAGGCTACTATTATATTTGTATTTTCTAATCAAAATATTTATTGCATGCTTGCTAAATTCAAAGTAATGTGCAAGTGATGAATATAAAAACAAATAATAACCAAGCCTCCCTTTGCCTTCAAGGAATTTACAATTGAGATGTATGTATATAGGGTGTAGGTGTGGGGTCAACACATTATCAACTAAATATAATTTAAGAAGGAGTGGAGGAAATGTTCTAATTATGGTTACCAAATTTAGGAAAAAAATATAGAATGCCCAGTTAAATTTGAATTTCAGATAAATACGTAATTTTTATTATTATGAGGTCTGACAGTTAAGTTTATAAACTTATCCTAGAAAAGGTGCTACATACCTTATTGCTGAATATCACTAAGGTCACCTTTGAAGTACTCCCCATGGAAAGCTATGCACCAACACCAAGGCCTATTCAACCAAAGCAACATTGGAATTATTTTTTCTCCAGTGATCACCAGTTCTGTCATCATATGACACACAAAAACATGCAACAATAATTAATGCCACTCAAGACACCACCACACATTGACATGAACACAGTGGTGAGACACTGATATATGTAGGTTATGAAACTTTGACAAGTTGTTTGCATAGTGCCGTCAATGTAAGCACACTGTGGCAAGTTTGTGAACTTAATTGGGAGATCTTCAGATGACACCAGCTCTGATGGTCATTTCAGAAAAAGAGTTCCAAAATAGCTTTGAAGGGCATACTAGGCACTGGTGTCAGTGCCTAGCTTTTCAAGGGAAGTATTTTCAACCATAGTGATATTCAGCAATGGGGTATATAGCACTTTTTCTAGGATGATCATCCTAGAAATTTGAGAACTTAATTGTCAGATCCTATAGTTTGTCCCAGATATTGAGTGGGATCTGCATTTTATTTGGCAATCAGTCTAAACTGCTAAGGAAGAACACTGCTATATGGCTCTCCACAGGGGGAGACTAAGGAGAGTGTCAGGGAAGTGATGGTTTTTGCCCGAGACTTCAGGGTCTAACCAACTCCACAGTGACAATCCTACTGCTCTCTGAGAATATCATAATATTTTATTCCTGGAATTCTTGTTGAATCAAAATATTCATGAGCTACTGCTTAGAATGTTGAAAAGATTTTTGGTCTTCATGAATTATTTACATAGATAGTTACAGAGTTTAAGATGTATATAAAATTATCTAATACTTTAAAATTTCACAAAGCAAAATATTATATAAATATATAATGTTTTTAAAAGGCTTCTTTAAAAGAAAATCAAGAAATAATATGCACTTTATTTATAAAATGTAATTTGTTACCTCTGATGTCATCCATATATCAGTATCATCATTTTCATCCAGTGTATCAGGTATAAAAGGAATCAGAGATACAAATTGAGCAATGAGGTCCTAGAATAATATTAATTTACATTTATTAAGAATGTACTGTATGTCCATTACAGAGCACAGTGCTTTACATGCATTATCTCATTCAGTATATAAGGTCAGACAATTAAGTTCACAAACGGATCCCAGAAAAAGTGCTACATACCTCATTGCTACATATCATCACTACAGTCACCCTTGAGGTACTCCCATTGGGATCTATGCACCACACCAGCACCTAGGGCACCCTTCAAAGAAATTTTAGAAATATTTTTCTGGAATGGCCATCTGAGCTGTCATCATATGTGGTTTGACAATTAAGTTTGCATACTCATCCTAGAGAAAGTGCTACATATGTCATTACTGAGTGTCAACACTATGGTTACCACATGGCCAAGGGGAATACTTTGAACGTGACTATAGTGCTGGAGATAAGGACTTAGACTAAGGTAATAAAGGAGAAAGTGATACACATAAATAATGAGTTAATGAACAGACAGTTAACATTTTAATTGATATACAATAGCTGCCATTTATGCCTTGTCATGACTCTTTATGGTGGGACTTCCCACAATTAATAAACAAGTTTCATAATCTTTGATAAGCAAAGGATCTAGGATTCATATACATTTTTAAAAAGATAAATATAGTTTTTGAAATAAATCTGAGAGCCTGTTATCTCCTTGGATGTTAGGTGTCAAGAAACAGGAAGGTCGGGCACGGTGGCTCATGCCTGTAATCCTAGCACTCTGGGAGGCCAAGGCAGGTGGATTGCTTGAGTTCACAAGTTTGAGACCAGCCTGAGCAAAAGTGAGACTCTGTCTCTACTAAAAATATAAAAACTGAGGCAAAAGGATTGCTTGAGCCCAAGAGTGGGAGGTTGCCATGAGCTATGAAGCCATAGCACTCCACCCAGGGTGACAGCTTGAGAATCTGTCTCAATAAATAAATAATAAATAAATAAATAAATAAATAAAAAGAAGAAGAAGAGGAAGAACCCTAAGATGGAAAATTAGAGGGTAGAAAAGGCTTTCTAAATTAGAAATTTTGGTTTTAGCTTGAAGAGTCAGGCTAAGAGAGCTTTATAATTCACAAATAGTATAAATATTTTGAGGAGAGACAAATGAATCCAAATAAATAAAGGTTGAAGGGAGTCTTTGTGCCCTTTAATCACAATAAAGCTGTTAAAAATCATTATAACTTACAAATATTGCCCTAGAATCACGAAGAAATATTTCCAGAAATTGTTGAGGTGGATTTAATGCCTTGATATATCTTGTTACTAAGATCTGTATGCCTTCATCATTAAAAACAGTAGTTGTGATTCTTCGGTTAGGAAACATTGCCTTGCAATTCTTTTTAAAGATCTGAGCTCTTTGTAAAACATCTATTTGATCTGAAAACTAGAACCAAATGTAAAATATTTCAATATTGCACCATATTGTTTCGACAGGAAAATATCAAGAACCAATGTTTATTTTTGCCAGCTTTGAGATTATTATCACTAGTTTTTAGAGTGCTGTGGTATCACAGCTCACAGCAACCTCAAACTCTTGGGCTTAAGCGATTTTCTTGCTTCAGTCTCCCAAGTAGCTGAGACTACAAGTGCCAGCCACAATGCCTGGATATTTTTGTTGTTGTCGTTGCAGTTGTCATTGTTGTTTTAGATGGTCCAGGCCAGGTTCGAACCCACCAGCCTGGGTGTATGTGGCTGGCACCCTACCCACCGAGCTATGGGCACTGCCCTATCACTAGTTTTTAAAATAGTTTATTCTTCTTTGATGGCATATATGAAAGAAATTAAGTGTAAAACCTACCTTATCTGTCTTTGGAGTATAGGTGACATATGATATTTGAGGTTCAATGGTAGCAAAAATATTTATGAAGGTACAGTCTTTTAAATTCTGCCCATTGTAATCTTCTGTAGGAGATACATAAGTCTTACTCCAAGTATATCCAAGCAAAACTGGTGGAATGTTTACTTGAAATGTTCCACTTATCTGAAAGGGCATATAAACATAATAGATTATGCATGATGAAAACAAACATCAGTTAAATATTAGAGCCCTGCGTAGTGTTCTCCATAGGCTTGCATGAGTTCATGGGCTTCTACTCATGTGTACTTGCCCAAGTATGACCAGTTCTCCATGATAATCTGTTCCTAGGTACCTTTGACACTGTGGGACCCTGCCTAACATGTGCTATATAGAGAAGGCAAGAGTAAAAAAGACCTGATGCAAGAAAGCAAGTTACTATACCAGAGTGATAAGAGCCCTTAAAAAATCTAATTCAGGCTCAGAGAAGAAGCTAAAAGACTGTGTTAGGGTTTGCACTGGGTCTAGAAAGAAAAATGTAACATCAGGAAAGACATCCCTGAGGGACACAGGAGAACAGATTTTGTGTGTGTGTGTGTATGTTTGGAGGGAAGACGTGAATTATGTAATAACTAATAATAATAAGGAATAGTTGCTGAGTACGATGTGCAGGACCCTGTGCCAAGTGCTTGATAGAGATTGTATCATTCTGCAATGGAGCAGATACTGCCCTTATTTCCATCTTACAGATAAGGAAACAGAGGCTCAGAGAATTAAAGTACTTTGTGCAAGATCACAGAACTAATGAGCAGTGGAGCCAGGATGAAAACCCAGTTTTGTCCTCCTTTGAAGCTCACATCCTTACCTACATCTCACCTACAATCTCACATCTGAGATTGAAGCTCACATCTCTCACCTACAATCTGAGCTAAGACTGAGAAATATCTGCAGCATTTACAAATGTAGGAAGTCCTGTATATCAACAGCTTAAATCCCTGTTGCTTTAACGTGTGCTACCCAATATTCATTCTTTCCTCCTTTCTTACCAACAGTCTTAATTAGTAACATAACAAGTAGGTAGTGGCCACGCCACATAAATAGTGTCAGCAGAAGTTTGTTGGAGTTTTCTGGGGGAACTGTCTGCTTCCCAATATTGATATAGGCATTGCCTTTGCATGCTTCTCCTGGCCTCCTGTTGCAACACACATTTGAGGATGAAGTGGCAGTGAACGGTCTGCATTTGTGAGGATGATTCTTGGTGATATTCTTGAGCTGCTGCACTGGCATCTGGACTTCTTTTTGGGTGAGATAAATAGACCTCTTACCAGCATAAGGCATTGTTAGTCAAGTTTTCTTTTGCATATGGCCTAATGCAGTCCCAATGCACAAGATTTCTTCTCACTCAAAAGCCCTCATTTGTTATTTCTCTTCTTTTTTTCTTTTTTGTTGCAGTTTGGCCAGGGTCAGGTTCGAACCTGCCACCCTTGGCATATGGGGCTGGCGTCCTATCCACTGAGCCACAGGCCCCGCCCCAAAAGCCCTCATTTGCTTGACACATTTATCTTTAAGGACTTAATTCAAAAGTTATCTCCTTGGTAAAGTCCTCCCTGACCTTTCATTTCCCTCCCCAGTCTCCTCTTATCCACTGCTAAACTCTCTAAACCACACCCCTATCCCTGCCCATTTCCCCTGCAGCCCAGGAAGAGTACAGTACTCCCTGCTGCATGCTCTCATAGAACCTATCTCCTGTCTCTATTAAAGCACTACTGCATTATCATATTGTACAAAGTGTTAGTTTTCTTCTGTAGACAGTGAACTCACTGAGATAGAAAAGTCATTTCTGTTTTTTCAAATCTTCAGTGTCTGGCATGGCACTGAAGTACTTTGCCTAAGATCACTCAGTAAATAAGTAACAGAGCCTAAAATAGAGTCTAGGCTGGATTTTTATGCTTCACTGGTCCTGTAGGCATATTTTTGCTACATAACCCGACAGCAGAGCCCTCTGAAGGTCTCACAGAGATCAGGTGCTAATCATCAATCTCACCATTAACAATAAGCAGTTTTGACAAGCTGAAACGCCTGGGACTCATCATTACCAAGCAACACCATTAAGAATATTCCATGAATCTGGTCTTATAGAAATCTTATATACAAATATGAATGTTGCTTTAAGACTAGCTGTCCTATTCTTTATTCAATATTTTTTAATTTTTGTTCAGTTCTTAATTAGTGAACACCCTAAAGACATAAGAAATACATCTGTGGGTGTTTGCTGTTCTGGAGACAGCCAAAACCTTCAAATACTCTACAATATGGAATATTCTAATATAGGATCATTTTAATTGACTTACCAACCTGCCAATCACAGAATTTTTTTTTTTTGAATTTATTTTTATTTATATTTATTTATTTTTATTTTTTATTTTTTTGAGACAGAGCCTCAAGCTGTTGCCCTAGGTAGAGTGCTATCACATCACAGCTCACAGCAACCTCCAACTCCTGGGCTCAAGCGAGTCTCCTGCCTCCACCTCCCAAGTAGCTGGGATTACAGGCACCTGCCACAACACCCAGCTATTTTTTGGTTGCAGCCGTCATTGTTGTTTGGCAGGCCAGGGCTGGATTTGAACCTGCCAGCTCAGGTGTACGTGGCTGGCACCTTAGCCGCTTGAGCCACAGGCGCTGAGCCTAATCACAGAATCTTATTCAAAGACAACAGAAAATGTTTCTATTATACAAAGGTCAAAACTTGGGATAATTAGCGAAGAACCATTTTCTATTACCTCAGATTGTTGCAGAAGAGCAGAAAAAGGGAAGATAATGGATCCAAGCCAATTCTTTCTTATATATGAATGACCATTACAGCTCTTGAGACAGCGATCCTATTAAAATACATTTTTTTTACTACTTAATAGTATGCGATGAATACTTTCAGTAACTCACAGGCAAGTGTAAAATACTAGACTGGTCTAATGGTAGTGGGTTATCAGAACTTAAAAACATTAGTGTCACTAAAGTTGGTATACAACTCTTCAGTGCTAAACTTGAGTGGCTTAAAAAAGATATAAAAAGTCATTCTCTCTTTTTTTTTTAAAGAAACCAAAAGAAAAGTAAGAAGATATTTTTCTTTGTTTTTATTGCTTTTTAGAAAGATTATTGACTATTTAAAGCAAAAATGATAACTTGTGAAGTTTATGTCATACATATAAGTAAAATGTACAATGCACAGGAGGGTGAAATGGAGGTGCTATATATAGTATTCCACTCTATACTATATGTGAAGTAGTAATGTATACAAAGATAGTCTGTGGTAAATTAAAGAATGTATTATAAACACTAGAGAAACAATTGAGAGAAGAAGTTTAGCTATCATAAAAGTATCCTAACAATACAAAAGGAGGCAGAAAAAGAGGAAAAAAGAATAAAGAACAGATGGTATAGCCAATAAACAGAAAGATGAAATTCAGCCACAAAATATAAATTGCCACATACTAAAAGGTAGAGATTGTCAGAACAGATAAAAAACAAAATGAAGACTCAACTACATGCTGTCTACAGTATATGCATTTTAAATATAAAGACACAGATTAAAAGAAAATAAAAAGACAAGAAAGAAATGGAGAAAAAGATATATCATGCAAACATTAATTAAAAGAAAGCCAGAATAGCAGACAAAGCAGACTTAAAAACAAGAAATATGTGTATAACCAAGAATAAAGACAGATATTTCATAATGACAAAGGAATCAATTCATCAAAAAGAAATACACTCCTAAACATAAATGAACTTAATAACAAAGTTGCAAAATTGAAAAATGTGAAACCAAAAGCAAGTTGATAAATTTGATTTCATCAACATTAAAAATCATGCTCTTCAAAATATACTGTTAATAAAATGAAAAAATAAGCTATATACCAGAAGAAAATATTTGCAAATCATATATCTGATAAAGGACTTACATACAAAATACACAAAGAGTTCCTCAAACTCAGTAATAAGAAAATAAACAGTGCAATTCTAAAAAACAGAAAAAGTCTTGAATAAACACTTCCCCAAAGAAAATATAAATAGCAAATAAGTATATGGAGAGTTGCTCAACATCATTTAGTCATTAAGAAATGCAAATTAAAACTACAATGAGAAACACCACACACCTATTAGAATGGTTAAAATAAAAAAGACTGACAAAGTGTAAAAATATGAAAGACCTGGTAGTCTCATACATTACTGGTGGGAATAAAAAATGGCACAATCACTTTGGCAAACAGTTTAGCAGTTTCTTTCTTTCTTTTTTTTTGTAGAGACAGAGTTTCTTTTTATTGCCCTCGGTAGAGTGCCGTAGCATCACAGCTCACAGGAACCTCCAGCTTTTGGGCTTAGGCAATTCTCTTGCCTCAGCCTCCTGAGTAGCTGGGACTACAGGCGCCCACCACAATGCCTGGGTATTTTTTTTATTGCAATTTGGCTGGGGCCGAGTTTGAACCTGCCATCCTCGATATAGGGGGCCTGCACCCTACTCACTGAGCCACAGGCGCTGCCAGGTTTAGCAGTTCCTTAAATAACCACTTGCTATAATATCCAGCCATTTCACTCCTAGGTATTTACTAACAGAAATTAAATCACTTGTCTATACAAGGACTTGTACACAAATGTTCACAGCAGCTTTCTTTATAATAGTCAGGGGAAAAAAAAACCCTAAGTGTCCTTAAATAGGTGAACATACATACATGCAATGGGATGCATGTTTACCAATGCAATACTACTATGCAATAAAAAGAAACTATTTGACAAACTCTACATGGATGAGTCTGAAAATAGTCTTTCTGAGTAAAAGAAGAAAGATAGGAAAAACAGTACATACTTTATGATTCCATTTCTATAAAATTCTAGAAAACACAAACTATAGAGATAGAATGCAGTAGAGATGCTATGCTTGGACCATCCCTTTAAATAAACCATATAAGTAAAACTGAGATATTTGTGTATTTAGTTCTTCAACCCTTTGTAAATCAAAATAACCCTTTCATCAATTAGTCATTGAGATAATTCCCTTTTGAGAGAGAAAATTTGGTAGGCATTCTTTTGGATTTTCTAAGCTGTACCTATTGTCAGTTTAAATAATCAGAAAACTGCTCAGTTTAACTCCTTGGAGAAAAGCTATTACCAAATTTCTGCTTAATGTTTTACCCTCTGCCTTTAAAAACAGTTGATAGGACATGTTTTAATGTTTGTTATATCACCTGGAAAACTGGTTAAAAATATTGTCATTGTGATTTGCTGTAGTTTTTACAGAAAGCTTGTTTCTGAACCATACATCCCAAGGTCTTGGTCAGTTTCTCTGCCCTGAACTCCTATTCCCTGAAGTTAGAATTAATTGCTCCTTCAATAGTATTGCCATAGAATTCGGTCATTTGTTAACATCTGTAGCAAAGCATTTAATTTATCTATCCCAAGAGAGTTAAATACAACGGATATGCATCTTTATATTTTTAGTGCCAAATTCAAGGGAAAAAATAAACTAACATTATTTCCGAGCTTGCCATGGCACTAGGCACTGTGTAGGAACATTCACGTATCTATGAGGAAGACATTCAGCAACTTTAGAGATCAATGAAATAGAAATGTATTTTAGTTCTACGAATAACTTAGTCTCTTTTGTATAAGTAGCATATTTTCTTTAATCAGATAATGAGAAATATGTAAACTATTTTTTTTTTATCTTTTTGTCTTAACTACCAGGCAGCTCGACTGCAGAAACGTACTTCTCCCAAGTTCTTGGCATACTTATCCCTCTTTCTCCTATACATGGTTTATTATCTGTTATTTTTTAACTGCCTTATCACATTTCTGATTTTATTGCAATTTTTGTCAAATCCTTTTAAGAAAATATTGGATAATAGATACTGCATCTAAAATCAAATTTACATGAAGAAAAGAAGTTGCAGTAAGATGAAGACAAAATAAGAAAAAAAATTCAAATTTACAAATATATTACTAGACTTCCTTCAGTCTGACCACCTTAGAATTATTCCAGGGTTGATTGTTACAATTGTTCTACTTTACCTCATGTTTTTCAATCATCATTTCATCAAAAATGTTTATATATATGTTATCTTTTATTTTAGATAAACTTGAGAAGCTATAATCATGTCCTGGTGAGCTGCAAATAAAAAAAAAACACACATACTTAAATGCTTAATTTTCTCAGAACCCATTTATTTTCTAGGCATTATTCATAAAGAACTATGAAATTGCCTGTGTTCTTTTCTTTTATAAAGGGTAAACTAAGAAAAAGCTATATCCTTTAAACATTGCTGCCTTTCATTAAAGCTAGCATATACATTATAATTTATCATACACATGCACCTCTTTTACCATAAAAAGATGAAAATGTTTAAATGTCAAGCAAAAAAGCTTTCACTACAGACATCTACGGCAAACATTTGTCTGGAGTATTATGCATTAAGATTTTCCAACTATCTTAAATTCTGCTAGTTCCTGCTAGTTTATACATAATAAATTTTTCTTTTGCTCTCACTTAATATATATGATTATTTAACCAGAGAGCTTATTCTCTTTCCTATATTATTTTTTGCAACCAGAAATTGTGGTAAAGTAGTACATTTAATTTTGCAAGCTCTTTGCTGATGGCTTACTTGATTAGGCACATTCTGAAGGTAGGTGAAAGGAATATATTACGAGCAATGAATTTCTACTCTCAGCTCTAGCTTACATATTAAATCTCCATTAATTATCTAACGGTGATAGATATCACAGTCCTGTAAAGTGATTATTTTACGTGAGGAAATGGAAGCTCAGAGAAGTTAAATAATTTGCACAAAGTAATGCCCTCAGCAAGTGACAGAGCCTTGAATGGGGCCTAGTATTGGTAGGCTCCAAAGACAGGTCTTTTCACTCTACAGCTGCTACTGAAGTCTTGTTTCATTGAAGAGTGTTGCTTAAGGAAGAAACTACAATTTCAAAGGATCACCAACAGTTTCTATAACTTTTTGAGATCTACAGAAAGTGACAGTTGAAAATTTCTGATTGAGTTTAGACAACAATGTTAAATTGAAGATTCCTTATGTTTCCAAGTAGTAAAACGATAAGCTAACTTGCTCTTCTGCTCCTTCAGGGTTTCCTTTCTTCTTGCCCTTAGGCAGGGCAAGGGGAGGAGGGCAATGTATATTTGTAACACAACTCCACACCCGCAGGAGAAAGGACACGTAACACTCTCAAGACATTTTTAGTTTGTCAACTTAGTATATCTTTTTAAATCACCCAAGTCATTTTGTGTTATCTTGTGTTTTGTATTCTATTCAAACTTTCCTCAAATTTTACCACAGTTTCTTCTCCAAAGCAAGGCTCATAAGACTAATTGCTATTTACTATTCATCATTATTATTATTATTTATTCAATTTGCATGTAGCTTTTGTTCACTAAAATGTCATGGAAGAGGGGAAAAGAGGTCTTCTAAGAGGGAAAGAAAAGTGCTAATTGGAAATTTTTGCCTTAACCAAAGCCTCTTATCTAGTTGGTTGTACTCAAATGTGTTCTTGGCTTTTCTGACTGCTATAATTGTAAGGATATAAAAGCTCTAAAGTTCATTTATAAGTATATTTATCTTACTGACTGTTTTATGTTCTCCTAAATTAATTTATTTAATATAGTATATATCTTCTCACTCTAATGTCTCTAATATTCCAAATATTTCCAAATGCACATGGCCACATATTTTACCTCTATAAACTTTTAAAGAAAATACATCTTATATACATTAGTATTTAACTTCATACATATTATATAATACAACATAATAGGTTTCCTTTAAGTCAATACTCTTCTTCACATACAAGACTGAAAAAGGTCAAGAAAGCAAGCATCAGAGAACAAGGCAAAGCAAGAGTCCCAAGGGCCAGACAGGCAGCCAAATAATAAGGATGCCTGTTTCAAACTCTGGACAATGACTCTGAAAATACAACTGAGCCAGCATTGAATCTAGATGAACATACTTGAATTCTGCTAATAGCAGAAGAATCTGTAGCAAAATTCCTAGATATACTGATCTATTAGGGTACTCCCCAAAATCAAGTGGGAATAATGGGATAAAGAGTCTCCCTCTCTTTGCAAATTCTGTTTACAGGCTGAAGGTTTTGCTTTGATAAGTGAAACTCAGGATATGAATAACCTACAAGATGTCATCACATATCTGCAAATAATTGTGTCAGTTCTTCTGAGTTCCTGTAGCCTTTGTGTGTATGGGAGACTATACATTAGCATAGGCATTGTACAAAGCATATAAATCATATAAAATCATATGAATTAGGAGATAATATGGAATATTAACTTAAAAATTATATGAAATAACTCATAGAAAACCACACAAAATGGTGGCTAATCCATAAGACAACCTGTTCTGCATATATAAGAAGCGAATTCTCCCACCTCTCAAGATAAAAAGTCATATTATTTGAAAATTTCTTAGATATTTAATAATGGTCAGAAAGTAAATTTGTACCCAGCAGTAAAGAACAGAAATATTAAAAGAATTGGATATGGAATGAGATCAGTTTTCACTGGATTATGTGTGTATGTGTGTGTGTGCCCCTAAACACCAAATTTAGTTACAGGATCAGGATTATTCTAATCTACATCTGTTTTGTTTCTTTCTTGGGAGCACACAAAAACACAGGTGTATGTTTCTGTTTGGATTTCAAAATATGGCTTATTATTTATTTTAATTAAAAATACTTTTATATACAAGAATATTACAGGGGAAAATATCTCTAATCATTCCTTAGAAAGTACAATGGTATTGCTTGTCTGCCTTTGGCAAAGACCAAGTGTAGAAAATGCAATGGTTAACCATTTCAATGCAAATTGATGTGTGTTTTAAAGTAAGAAAAGTAAAAGAAGTCCACCATTTATTAAAAAAGACTTTTTAAAAAGCACAAACCACAAAGGAAAAAAGTGGTAAAATTAAAAACTTATTTTCATCAAAATCTATCATAAAGTAAATGAAATGTCAAGCCATTAAATAAAAATAGTGTTAACACATATAACTGACAAAGGGCTGGAATCTGTAATATGTAAAGAACTTTAAAAAAAAAGATAGACAAAATAATAGGGAAATGGACAAAAAACATGGAATGGAATTTCACAGAAAAGAAAATAACAATGGCAAATAAACTTATAAAAAGAAGTGCAGGCTCGGCAGCTGTGGCTCAAGTGCATAAGGTGCCAGCCATGTACACCAAGGTGGCAGGTTAGAATCCAGCCCGGGCCCGCCAAACAACAATGACGGCTGCAACCAAAAAACAGCCGGGCGTTGTGGCGGGCACCTGTGGTCCCAGCTACTTGGGAGACGGAGGCAGGAGACTCGCTTTAGCTCAGGAGTTGGAGGTTGCTGTGAGCTGAGATGCCATGACACTCTACCCAGGGGACAGCTTGAGGCTCCTGTCTCAAAAAAAAAAAAGAAGTGCAAAGTGAAGAGATAAACTGCAATACATGCTCACCATGAACTATGCACATATTAATTCAGTGGTAAAAAGAAATGAGTGATTAAGCCATAAAGACATGCAGCAACCTTAGATGGCATATGACTAATTGAAATAAGCCCATCTAAAAAGGCTTCTAATTGTATGATTCCAACTATATGACTGTGATGATTAATTTTATCTGTCAACTTGTCTATGATACAGTTTCCAGACATTTGGTTAAACATTACTCTAGATTTTTCTGTAAAAATATGTTTTCATTTTTCCTTTTTTGTTTCTCTCTCAATTTATTTTTTTGAGTGTGTGTGAAGATATTTTTCAGAAGTAATTTAAATCAGCAGACTTTGAGTAAAATTCCTCCATAATAAGGGTGAAATTCATCCAATCAGTTGAAACCCTTAAGAGGATAAAGACTGACCTCCCTAGTAGAAGAGAAAATTCTGCCAACAGATTGATTTCAGATTCAACTCTCCCCTGGGTCTCTAACCTGCTATCTTATCCTGCAGATTTGGGCTTGCCAGTTCCCATAACTTTGCAAGACAATTCTTTAAAATAAATGCATTTCTCTTTGTCTCTCTTCCTCTCTCTTCTCTATAAACATCTTATTGGTTCTGTTTATCTGGAAAATCCTAATTCATACAATGACATTCTGGAAAAGGCAAAACTGTGGAGGCAATACAAAGTTGCCAGAGGTTCCAGGGGGAAGAAGGGATGAATAGATGAAGCACAGGGGATTTTTAGGGCAATGAACTCTTCTATATGATGCTATATTGGTAGATGTATGTCAGCATACATTTGTCAAAACCCATAGAATGTACAACACAAAGTGTGAACCTTGTAGACCTTGGTCAATAATGCTGTGTCAATGTTGGCTCATGGGTTGTAATAAAGGTACCACACTGATGTAGGATGTTGAGGCTGAGGAAGGCGGCATGTGTGTTGTAGTGAAGGGGTTTGTGGGAACTTTCTGTACTTTGGGCCTACCTTTACTGTGAACCTAAACTTCTCTTAAGAAAGAGATATTTAAAAAAATGGAAAACAAAAGCTCAACCTCATTAGAAATAAGGGAAGATAAGTTAAACCATAATGAGAATACCATTTTAGATCCACCATATTGGGATAAATAATTTTAGAAATATAGAATGTTATTGAAAATATGTATGGCACAATAGGAAATTTTATATATTGCTGTTGAGGGTATATATTGGCATGATCATTTTAGAAACAGCTTGGCATTATTTAGTAAAATTGAAGCTGACTTTAGCTACAACCTTGCAATTCTACTCCTAAGAATATATCCTAGAGCATGGTTTATCCGTGTTGCTGTCAACTGGTAACATTAGCACCACCTGGGAACTTGGTAGAAATTGAATTATCAGGCCTTATTCCAAACCTACTGGAACTAGGGAGAAGGCTCAACAAACTGTTTTAAGAAGTTACTTAGGTGATTCTACTGTACAAAATGCTTGAGAGCCACCATCTTTAAAAGAAAGTATTGTACATGTGCTCCAGAAGACAAGTACAAAAATGTCCAAAGCACTTTTTTCAATGGCAAAAAGTTGGGGAAAAAGACAAATGTGCATCAACAGAAAAAAGCATAAAGAAATTGTGGCATTTTCATACAATGGAATACTATACAAAAGTGGCTTTTATTTAGTAACAGTGGCTTAGTTTGCTTTGTGCTGCTGTAAGACAATACCTGAGACTGGATAATTTATAAAGAACAGATATTTATTTCTTATAGTTCTGGAAGCTGGGAAGTCCAAGATGAAGGTGCTAGCATCTGATGTCTGGTGAGGGCCTTCTTACCATGTTCTCACATAGTATAAGGTCAAAGGGCAAGCTAGAGAGGAACACTATGTTCTCACACAATAGAAGGGCAGAAGAGTGTGAACATATTCCACAATCCCTTTTTATAATTACTCTACTCATGAAGTTGAGTCCTCATGACCTAAACACCTTCCATTAGTGTCTACCTCCCAACACTATTGCATTGTGTTAGAAACATTAATAGTTTCTAATACCTGAATTTGGGGGAGACATTCAAACCAAATAGCTATAAGCATGAACATGGATGAATCTCTCAAAACAACTATAAGTAAAGAAACAAGATTCTGGGAGAATACATAAACATAACTCACTTATATAAAGTTGAAAACATGCATAAGTAGATAATACATAGGGATAAATGCTTATGAAATAAAATTGTAAGGAAGACAAAGAGTAATTAGAGAAAAATGATAAACATAAATTCATGGTTGTTACCTCTAGGTGGAAAAAGAGTGGATGCAGTTAGGTAGTAGCATAGAGGGCTTTTGGCACTGGTAATATGTCTATTTTTTAAGTTGAATGGTGGATACACAAGTATTCATTTTATTTTTCTTCAGAACTTATGTTTACATATATTATATATTAGCTTACATGTATAAAATGTTTCATAATTTAAATGCTTAAAAAATAAAGACTATATCAATAATTATATACAATAAATGACTCAAGAAAATAGTTTTGTTATTGCTCTTTTTTTAGGAGCTGTGAAAAATGGACCCCATGTACTTACATAAAATCTACTTTAATTTCTTCATTCCAGCATGGATGAGATCCACTTGCAGCATTGGTTTGGTATATAGTGTGCTGGAAAGAAACTTCTACAAAAGGGTGTACTATATCCTGAAACACATAATAAATATCGACAAGACTTTTGTAATATTTTATATAATTGATAAAGATATAAGGCTGGAAAATAACTTGGCAACACTATGGCCTAGTTTTTCAAACAGCCATCTTCTTTCATCATTCATTTAATAAACATTACTGGGGAGAGGGGCAAGATGGTCAATTAGAGACACCATTTGTTTGATTGTCCTAGTAGGAAGAATGAATTTCATGTAAAGGAGATGGGAGAAGACTTGCAGATCAGGTGTAGATCATAGAGTTAAGTGTCAGAGCCTGCCGGGGATCCTAAAGATAAAAATTGCAAAGCAAGAAGGAAGAAGATAAAAGAAATAGATGCTAATCAAACCTAGAGAGGCTCAGAGCCCAGTGAAAGGGTAAGGGGGGAGGCCCTTTCTCCCTTACATGTGCTCCTGCCCCTCCCCCAACAATTGCAACCGGGAGTGCAATTTGAGCTGAGAACTTGGCAAGTGGCCACTTCCCCTTAATGGATGCCTGTAGCAGGCTGAAGTTACCACGGAGAGTGGCTCCCATGCCTTTCTACTTGGGGGCCTGTAGTGGACTTGGGGTACCTGATTTGGGAGCTCCCTGTCACTTGCATTTGGCAGAGTCCCACACTGGTGAGTCAGACAAGTGGGCTGAATACCATGCCCCTCAGCTAGAGTAGGATTCTCAGGATACAAGGTAGAGGTGTAGGAGCTGGACTCAGGTGGAGAGGAGGCCAACATGGACAGAACTGATAGGAAAAAATGTTAAGGTTCCAAGACACTGTGAGCTGAAAGAGTGCCCAACACCCCCCGACCCTGCAAGAAAACTGCCCTATTGAATAGGGGTGGATCCTCTGGAGAAGACAGCTGTAAGTGTGCACATTGGGTGCCCAGGATGACTAGGAGGTCACCCCCTCACCCATTCCAGCAGGGAGAGAAGTTTCATCCAAGAATCTAGTAAGCAGTGGCCCTTTTCCAGCGGTGGGTGCTGCAGGCTGAGTCTTTCATGGATGTGGGTCCCACACTTTTCCCTCTGGGGGAATGTATTAGACCTGAGGTGCCTGATTTGGGAGCTTCCTGCGCACCAGCATTTCACAGAGTCTCATGCCAGCAGGTCAGACTAGTGGGCCAGGGGAGTTTTGAGAGCTAGATAGCCAGGTTGTGAATCTCAGAAGGCCCTCTCGACATGTAGACTTTCTGATTGTATAGGGCCACTTCAGATCCTCCTTAGGAGCTTTCCCCAGAAGCTAGGAGAAGACCTTCCAACCCTGTCAAAACAGCTACCTAACCAGCTGTTTTAGAGCCTGAGGGCAAGCTCACTCAACCTAGCCCCATTCCTCTATCCATCTCTGCTGCGGCAGAGAATAAGGACTCACCTGGAAGGACCAGGGCCCCAGCCATCACCTGGTGGAGTATTTGAATGCTCTGAGAGCCTAGAGCTGGCCACAGGTCTCAAAAACAACACTGTATCTTGTTCATCTAGCAAGTGACTACCCATTGACAGGAAGGTCAATTTGCAAAGCCTTTTACAATCATATAGGGTTCGTTGATTCTTACACACAAACATCAGAGATTAAATTGGACATGCCAATACAATTCACATGGCTAAGGAATTCATAGGGCTAGGGAAAGTCCTCCTTCTCTCTCATCCAAGTGAGACAGGGAATCTCCCCCACATAGTTTACCATAGCTACAGTCTACAAACAACTAGCAACTAAGAAAAACACCACACTAAAAATATCTATAACCAAGGCTTCTACCCAGAGTGTAGATCTCCATCAAAGCATCCACCAATAGAGGGTGGGTTATTACCTCCCAAATGCTACAGATATACCTGTATGAGTAAGGTGAGGGGATAAAGCACTCTTTAAACAAAGAAAAATCCAGATGAGGATGAGGAGAAGAAGGAGAAGGAGTAGGAAAGGAAGGAGAGAGAAGAGAAGAGAAGAGAAGAGAAGAGACCAATTAGGAGCCAATTGCAATTGAGGGCAAACATCAATATTGTACTTGCTAGTGTTAAATACTTACCTCATTCAGGAGCTCATCTGAGACTACTGACTGGATCGATTCTTTATGTTTGAGGCGAGATACAGATGTCAAAGAAGTAGGCATATCCAAGACTCTTCAGGTAAAACAATATAGAAACATATACCTTAATTAGTTTTCATATTAGTTTTGTAGGAGTAGGTGGGGGTTTTGTCTTTTTCTTATGGGGATGTATAATTCAGTTATACTGAACCTTATACAATTTGCTTTGGATTGTCACATTGTAGGCAAAAAATCTAACTAAACATTTGATAATTTCTACTCAGCAAGAGTGTTTCCTAAATGCTGAACTATGGATTAGATCCAGTCTATGATAAAATTTTTACTGGTTTTCAGCAAAATGAGAAAATAAGGCAGGAGATATTTTGAGAATATGTCCTTCCTACTTTTTTGGTGTTACAATATTCTTTCTTTTACAAAAACTATTACAGAAAATGGTGGTGATTTTATATGTCCTTTGAAATATACATTTATTTTGAAAATACTGTATTCCATTAGACAAATAAGGTTATAGTTTGTAAAACATAGGCAAAATCTTTATGAGAGTGCAATTATAGATTAGTAGCCAATAAGCAAAATGTTTTTCATAGGTGGAATTCATAGATTGTGGTGAGCATAAAATAATGAAGTAGAGCACATGTGTCAAACACAGAGAATGATATCTAAAATTCTTCAGACACTGGGGCATTAAATATTCATAATATATAATCATGACATTGAATATATGAGACACTAAATATCCTGGATACATCAAATAAACATGAGTGTTCATGAATATACCTTAATTTGACCACCTATTTGTGATACCTAGTGTTGGCCCCACATATCTTCTGCCCAAGAAACACAAATAAAACCCACCGAGGGCATACAGAAAGGATGGGTGAAGTCTTCCTTTTGTAAATGTCACCTAAAATAACAGGTTGAAAGCAGAGCAGGATGTAACTATAACAATTCTTATTTCATAAACCATTCCACATTTGTTTCCTCCACTTTCCTAGGATGTTTCCTAAAGCAAAATTAGTATCCCACCCACTTTCTTCAACTTTATGCTTCCAATACTGAGAAAGTCAGTGGCATGGAATAGGGTAGTTGACAGCACAAGCTTCAGAATTTTCACAACAGGGAATACAGACAAAAGGTATTTATTTGCTATAGCTTGAAAAAGTGAGAATGGGCAAATACCCCCAAATATGCAAGTTTAAGTTACTCTGGGAATCTTAAACTTCAGGAAACTTAATGTGTGTTATCAACGGTAGGTTTGCCTATCTAAATGAAGATTTCAGTTTTCATTTATTTTTTGCATATGAAGTATTAATCAAGTGCAAAGTTTTACAAATAGGACAGCATGGAATTTATCACATTTAAGGCAGATATTTTGCAATTCTAAAAATTGGGGCATATTATCTTACCTATTAACTATTGCTTTCCTCGTAGGAATATTATAGGCTCTTACTATTCTGACAAGAATCTTAATATCTCCATCAGAGATACTTTGTGCTGTGACTTTTTTCCTTTCTTTTCTCTGCGGCTTTAATTTTCTTCGTGGTTTAATAAACTTACAAACTGCATCTGCCAACTGGCTAAATAAATGGTAACAAATATGATCAGCTCTATATATACAGAATAGTAGTGTTTAAAGATATTTAATTTTTGATTAATTATAAATAAGGCCCTCATTCTGAACCATATTCTTTTTATTATTAAGAGAGGAGATTGTTGTCTTAAATCCAAGGAAGGAATCTTTTTCTGAGCATACAAAGGAACTGATGCTATTATGTTCCCTTGTGTTGAGAGAGAATGTGATTGCTCCAGGCCCTTTAGGTATACATGATCCAGAGAGAGACAAGGACATGGTCCTTGGAGAGTAAAGCCATGAAGTATGATGGTTTTACAGATTATTCATTTTTTCAAGTTTATTCTGTTATAAGTGCCTGGGTATTCATATTTTCTCCACGGCTCTGACACCATAGTGAGTTATACATGCTGCCAACTTGGCCAACACAAATCCATGGAATTATAATCTTATGGTCACACCCAGTTCTCCCCAAGGACTGAAAATGAAACACCATAGAGTTCATTATCCTAAACCAGTTAAAACCTTATTGGTAATACCAAGAATCTGCCTGTGTGGCCTCCAGGGAGTTTTCCCAGAGACATAGAAGCTCTATTCTTGGCCTTACATTTCACAGTATGAGAATTAAATTATTTCAGCAAAGACTCCCCCAGCTACTACCTGCGGATCTCACTTGTGTAGATGAGGATTCTCAGTTTGCAAGGGAGAAAACACAGGCTTAGTGTGGTACTATCAGCAATGCCTAGTTCAGTAGCAATCTTAAGACAGGTAATCTTAGGGCAAAGGTTACCTGTCCTCTTCTTTTTCTTTCTTGCCCTAAAAAAATCAATGAGGATAGGGCAAAGAACTACCCTAAAATACTATCCAATGGAAAATCTATAATGTAGGTGTTCCAAAACGCAACTTTAAAACGACCAAATATGTTTTAAGTCACTATACTTCACTTTATTCTCTGAAACTGCATCTTTTGGCATATGACTTAATTAAAATAAAAAATAACTGAGAGAATTTGAACTATTAGTTTAAAGTTTTATATATCATACTTAATCTTTAGTAGTTACCTTGTAGATACAATTTCTTCATAATCTGTCACAATATCTGACAAGTTAAATTTGCTAATTTTGACAATTCTTTTCAGTATCAATCTTCTCATCTAAAAAACAACATTTTTTTAATTTTAAGAAATGGCACTGTTTACATTTTAAAGTTCAGTATTTACAATGCTACTGGCACCACTCACTGTATTTTACTCCTAATTTTTGCAAGCAATGGATGGAAAGGGGATTTTAAAAAGGAAAATACAGTTCCATTTGCTACCATTATTAAAATATTTCCCAACTCTTACACTGCCACAGCAATATTAGTTCATCTTTTCCCACTTTTTTGTCCTCTATTCATTTCATCTTATCTTAAACCCTTTTCTCCCATATTTTGTCCCCATCTAACTCATAGTATGTATGGGCCAAAACTATTTTTCACCAAAGGAGATAACTGCCCTATAAATCCAGTTCTACAATAGCCACTAGTAATGGATATGAATCTTGATCTACAAACTGAAAGAAATGTGATCACATTTCTTTATTTCCTCTGAGTCAATTCTATTCTTACTTTAAGCCCTCATTTTATCAGCCTGGCAAGAAAGTCAGTGCTTGAAAGAACCATCTTCCTAAACCCTTCTACTTGCAGTACCCCTAGGCCTTGGGAACATGGAGAACTCTGAATATCTCCTTTTAATCGGAGGAAATCCCTTTCTCCTCCAAATCTCCCTTTCCTTATAGGTTGAGGCTTTCAGACATGAAACCAGGAAAAGGCATGACTGGAGGCAATTTTCTGCTTTCTTTCTGCCACAAATCATTTTGGAAAATGAAGTGATGGGAGAGGAATGTGAAAAACATAACTCCTAAAAATGATACTGTCAGATGGGCAACAGTTTCCCTTGTAGGTGAACCAGCCCTGTGTGTTCCTATCACTGCCCACTCTCTCTCTTCTCTTTCCCTTGGCACCAAGCAGACTGGGCTTCTTGCTCTTCCTCCCATAGTCCAGGTAGGTTGTACATCTTTGGTTCCCAACCCCAGGCAGGAGGCCCTCAGGAGCTGGGCCACAGAGTTCCATCTCCCTCCAACCCTCATGGAAAAATTGTCTTCCATGCAACTTAGGTACCAGGCTGCATAGCAGGAGGCGAGCAGTGGGCAGTCCAGCCAAGCAGCCTCATCTGTATTTACAGCTGCTCCCCATCACCCGCATCACCACCTGAGCTCTGCCTACTTCCCCATCCCCACCCCCACGTGTGGAAAAACTGTCTTTCATAAAACCAGTTCCTAGTGCTAAAAAAGTTGGAAATTGCTGCTCTACTTGATAGTTTTCATGTATGAACTCTGTCAGCCTGGATTATTCTTTCCCAGGTAACTCCATGGCTGGTGCCCTGGGTTCCTTTGCTTCTTTCACTGAAAGTGTAACCTTCTCATAAGGCTTCTTTGACCACCTTATTTAAAACTGCACCCTTCTCCCCACCTCGACTTTACCCATCGAATCCTATCCTCTCTTCCTACTTTTTTCATAGCACAGTTCACTCTCTAACATACTAGAAATGCACTGTTCATTATCTTATATATTCTACATACTCCAGCAGGTCAGAGATGATAGCAAGTTTTCAATAAATACTTGTTGAATAAATTTACAAAATGGACAAACTGAAGACATGCACTGCCCTTTTAAATGCAAACATTTTAGCATTTAGAATGCTGGGGCTCCATTCTTTATTGCTGTGACTCTGGCCTCAGCCACCACTGACCCCAGTAATACAGCAGAAAGTTAATACACGCCACTCACAGTTCCATGAGTTCCTCCTGTGAAAGTACAAGTACCTATGGCCCTAATAGGCCTCCAGGATCAAACCTTTCCAGCATCTGTAGTTACAGTAATGATCCCATGAAAGTACCAAACTTATAGTTTTAAACTATCACCAGAAAGCACAGAAGTCTTCACAAGGAGTTGAAATAGAACCACTAAATTTTATTAAAACCCCTTCCTAGGATTCCTGTATGAAGTTCAAGCACACAGGAAATCAGACACTTGCTCTCTTACTCCCTTACTTATCCTCTGCCACTCTTCCTCCAGGGGTTCCCCTGACACAAAAAAGAAGAGATAGGATAAGAAGAATATGTGTTCTCTTTCCTTATGAGTAAGAATACTTCTTTATTTTTGAAGATAACAAACTCATTATTAAAGCATATCCCAATTCTTAAAAAATATGGAGCTAATAAAGAAGGGGTATTAGGGGCAGGGTTGAGTGAGAAAAACACCTGCCAGTGATAAAGGGGGGCTCTCCCGTGCCTTGGATAGCTACAGTGGTATGTATTCTATTACCATCACATAGTAATGATGTATGAACTGGAATAGCACTTGAGGTTTTTACTATAGCCCAATTGCTCCTCACATCAAAAGCAAAGCAAACATAATTGTCTGTTTTTATACAAGAAGGTGGGGCTCAGTGATTAGGTTACTTGCCAAGGATACACCAGGTAGTAAGAATAGGTGTTCACACACCTGTTGGGACTCTTGTAGTTACACATGGTTGCGTCCCATTTGTCCCCACATAGGATCTGGAATGTTTGTCTTAGATCTTTCCATAGCTGTCCTTGTTTGTTTTCAAATTACCCTACACTGTTGCTCTGATGCTGTCCAACACCAGTGACGCTGGGCATCACTTGGGTGAGAGTCCACTTTTGCAGTTTTAGAAACCACCTCAGCCCTTATCCTTTATTTCATTAATTTCTCAATTATTTATGAGCATTTTCTAAGTATAGGACACTGTGTTGAGCACATTCAGTCTCTGTCTAAGCTTCTAAGTCTAGAAACAGAGTGATGAGGGGACCATAAAAGAAATCAAGAATGAAATTCAATGAGAGATTCTACCCCAAACCCCCAAACCTGGCTAAGGCCTTGCCAGACTGTTCTGTAAATCTTTACTATTTGACTTGATATCAAACCATATCTATTTTTTGAATTCTTTTTGTCTGCTTCTAGTAGCTGTTTCATCCCTTTATGTCCCGAATTGCTTTGGTCTGTGACATTGCACAATACTACTAAAAAGTACGCATTCTGGAAATATACTGGAGTATCTCTCAAGGTGAACTTTTAGGGTCAAAAAGGAGATGAGATGTCAAAAAAATTCCTGTTTAAACAAAACACATGCATAAGCACACCCTAACCATTGAGAGCTCACTGTCAATGAAGCAAGTGAACTCTGAGAAGGAAGCCTGAAGAGAACAGAAAACTCTTCAGTGATCATAAAGACGTGGTGAGTTAAGTGGATTCATCATCTGAGTCTCTGGGAAGAGTATAATAGCATGTCTCCAGCAGACCAGTTTTCACAAAAGTAAATGCAAACACATCGATAATACTGGGTTGATGTTATTACCTTTTCCAGGAAATTGGCAGAATCAATCCTTTGTGTAGTAATAGAATTCACATCTGTAATATCCTTCTCTGTCTTACTTTCATGTTCCTAAACACAGAATTAAGTTAGTTTCACTTCTCAATAGAGCTCAGATATGACATGCCTGCAATAAATATTACTATTCATTTCAGTTTGTGTGACATTGGCAACATTCTGACATTAAGAGAAGAAAACATTTCTATCAGATTCTCCCATGAGATTAGCTAAAAACAGTTTATGGCTACACTGCCTCTAGGTTGAGGTCCATTCATCTTTTAAAATAGAGTAATGATTAAGAAAGAAAATGTATCACTGAGAAAATAATGAAAATGTGAAGATGACTGAGAAAAATACGTGTTTGCCTGGTAATCACTGAAAAGAAAGTGAACGGGAAAAGTACAGTGTAGTGTTTAAGAGAATGGGCTTTGGAGGCAGATAGTCCTGGATTCAAGTAAGCCCTGCTATTTATTAGCTGTGCGGTTTGGAGAAAGTTGACTAATTCCTCTAGACTCCAGTTTCCTCCTTGATAATAGTAATAATAGCACCACAGTATTATTTCTGAGATTTAAATGAAACAATATCTGTAAAGTACCTGGCACCTACTAAGTACTCAATACATGTTGAGTATCATCAATAACTTTAGCATTATATATATAGTTAGTACAAAATTATGTTATAATGCTTCATCTACATAATTTAAGGTAACTTTGCATTTGTTATTTATGAATTTTCAGTATACATCCACAATGCAAATATAAATAATTTTCTTTTCTTTTCTTCTTTTTTTTTTAAGAGACAGTCTCACTTTATCACTCTTGGTAGAGTGCCATGGCGTCACAGCTCACAGCAACCTTCAACTCCTGAGCTTAAGCAATTATCTTGCCTCAGCCTCCCAAGTAGATGGGACTACAGGCGACCGCCACAATGCCTGGCTATTTTTGTTGCAATTTGGTCGGGTCTGGGTTTGAACCCACCACCCTTGGTATATGGGGCCGGCGCCCTACCCACTGAGCCACAGGCACAGCCTGGGAATAATTTTCTATTATAGATATCAGTAAATACTACAGAAGAACAATAAAGTAGGTGCTTTAGAATCTTTAGCCATATTACAACGTATACTTTATCATCTGAAGGTAAGTTATTTGTTCTTCTAATTATCCACAAGAAATTTTGTAATTAATTCTGTTGACAAGTAACGAGTTCTACATAAGGACATATATAATATTTGTTTACTTTTTAAAGTATTAACTTGTAGGAGTTAAAATACTCTGGATATTAATTTTTTTTTCTTTTTGTAGAGACAGAGTCTCAGTTTATCACCGTTGGTAGAGTGCTGAGGCGTCACACAGCTCACAGCAACCTCTAACTCCTGGGCTGAGGCAATTCTCTTGCCTCAGCCTCCCGAGTAGCTGGGACTACAGGTGCCCGCCACAATGCCTGGCTATTTTTTGTGGCAGTTTGGCTGGGGCGGGGTCAAACCCGCCACCCTCGGTATATGGGGCCGGCACCCAACCCATTGAGCTACAGGCGCCATCCAAGATATTAATATTTTAATAAATAACTTTTTCTAATCTGTGGGTTAATTTTAATGTCATAAATTTATTAACCTTTTTTATAATTTATACTTTTTATGTTTCAAGAACTACTTTTGTACCCAAGATTTAGATACCCATTTAATGTCTACTTTTCACAAATGATCTTCATTATATATGGTGTTTATTATTTTTGTGAGGTTCAAATCTAATTTTATTTATGTCCTGTGTATTAGCAATAATCCTAGAACCACCTGATGGCTCACTCATTCCTTTCCAATTGATTTGTAATGACATCTATGTCAAATATAATGTTTTCACATATGCATAGTAAGTCTATTTTATTTCACTGCTTTGGAATTGCATTATAACATTACATTTCTCTATCCTTTGTATTTCTTTTTTTTTATTTCAAATTAATACGAGGGTACAAATGAGTAGATTATAATGTTTACTTTTGTTAGGTGTGGTTCCTGTTGTAGCTGTGTCCCGTACCCAGGAGGTGTGCTGTATACTTTTACATTGTGCCCATTAGGTGGGAGCATACCAATCTTCCTTCCTTCTCCTCTCATACCCTCCCTCCTTGCCAATCCCCTCAACTTGAATTAAATTGAGTTTTTCTGTTGCGTGGGCATGTATTAGTTCATCTACTGGCTTCATATTAGAATTGAGTACTTTGGATACTTGCTTTTCTATTCTTGTGATATTTTACTAAAGAGAATGCTCTCCAACTCTATCCAGATTAATAAAAAGATGTAAAGTCTTTATCCTTTTTATGGCAGGATAGTATTCCATGGCATTCACATATCAGAGTTCATTAATCCATTCATAAGGTTTCTACATTTTAGCAATTGTAAATTGAGCTTTGATAAGCAATCTAGCGCAAATATCCTCATGATAAAATGATTCTTCTTCTTCTGGGTAGATCCCTAGTAATGGGATTGTGGGATCAAATGGAAGGTTTATTTTGAGTTCTTTGAAGAGTCTCCATACTTCTTTCCAAACAGGCTGTATAAGTTTGCTGTTCCACCAACAGTGTAAAAGTGTGCCCTTCTCTCCACGTCTATGCCAGCATCTGCAATCCCTTGTATTTCTTGTAAATAAAAATTAGTCTAACATGTTGATTAGATTCAGAATATACATTTTTGGCAAAAGACTGCCTAGGTACTCTATGCAGTTCATGTTATATCATATTCATATTAAGAAGCAATAATGCTTGATTTTCTTTTATTAGAGAATTAGTTTTCTATTGCTACCCTAACAAATTATTACAAATTTAGCAGCTTTAAAAATAACAAAAATTTATTACCTCACAGTACTATAGGTCAAAAGTCTCTGTTGGCTTAGTTTGTTATCCTGCTCCAGATTTCACAATGCTGAAATCAAGGTGTTGGCCAATGGGGTTCTTATTAGGAAGCTCTGGAGAGAATCTGTTTCAAAACTCATTTAGGTTGTTGCCAGAATCCATTCCCTTTAGTTGTAGGACAAAGGTTCACTTTCCTCACTCTCTGTAAGTTAGGGGCTTGAATTTTGCCAGGAACTTTCTGTCTTTGTATGCAGGCCCCTAAATCTCAGAGCCAGCAATCTCACAGAGGACAGGAATCTCTCCGATTTCTCCTTCTGATGTAGGGGGTTCCCCAGTGAAAGGAAGAAAACCCCACAAACTGATCCTGTGGGATCTTGGCTTTGTGTCAAAAAGAATTTGAGAATAAGCTAACTAATGACAGAAGTTTTACTGAGAGAGAGACAGACAACAGATCCTACTCCACAGAGTAGAGGTCCTTTCTTGAGCCCAAAGGGGTCCCCTTATGGGGCGATGTTAATATTTTTAAATGTTAAAAAGCCCTTTTAGGAAACAGCCAAACTTGACCAGTATTGTTGTGAGGCCAAGCCAAGAAGATCAATCATAAACTGATATCCCAAAAAGTCAAGCACAAACAGTTCGTAAGGCATCTGAGGCTTAGTCGTAAGGCATCGTAAGGCTTAGTAATTCATCCATCTTTGGGTATTCCCAGTCTGGCAACATGCTCAGCGATGTCCTTGTTCAGGGTAGCTAGGGTCTGACATCAGCCAGAATAGCTGCATTCAGGCTCTCTCAAACATCCTTTTCTGCCTTTTCCCTACATTATTTTTGCTATATCTTCCTGCTCTCAGATAGAGAAAGTCTTTTGCCTTTATAGAATCATGTAGTTAGGTTGGACCCACCCATATAGTCCAGGATAATCTCCCTATTTTAAGGAATGTAATGTAACATATTCATAGGTTTCAGGATTGGGGGGCCACATTTAGGGGCCATTATTCTGCCTACTACAATTAATAAGATTAAGTTCCCTCACTGAGTTGAGGTGGGATCAACTAGATTTCTCTGTTGTGAAGTTTTCCTTTTGCAATAAAAAAGTGGCTATTCATTTTAAAATATGGATATTATATTCAACAAATTTATCAGTTGGGATGGTTTTCTGTAGATTCTCCTGTATTCTCCATGTAGACAAACATTTCATGCAAACAAGGAGAATTCTGTGTCTTTTTTAATTTTATTTTTTCCCTCCCTCCTTCCCTTTCTCCTTAATGCATTAACTCCTATAAACAGTGAGAAGATAATGGGTATCCTTATGTTGTTGACATTAATGGGAAAGCTTCTGAAAATTAGCCATTAAGTCTACATAGGATGTAATACAGTTTGCATCAGTAGAAAAATCCAAAACATTGAACCATTTTTTTAATTCTGTTGAAAAAATTTCCTTCTGATTCTAGCATGCTAAAAGCTTTCATCATGAATAAACATTGAATTTTATTAAATGACTTTCTTTTTTGTTTTTTGTTTCCTTGAGACAGATTCTCGCTCTGTTGCCCTGGGGTTAAGTGGCGTGGGATCAGCCTAACTCACAGCAACTTCAAATTCTTGGGCTGAAGCAATCCTCATGCCTCAGCTTCCTGAGTAGCTGGGGCTATAGGTGCCTGCCACAACACCCAGTTAAGTTTTCTATTTTTAGTAGAGTCAGGGTCTCACTCTTGCTCAGGCTAGTCTCAAACTCCTGACCCCAAGCAATCCTCCTACCTCAGTCTCCCAGAGTCTTTTTTGAAATAATTTTTACTATTTTTTAAAAACTTTTTTTTATATTCAGAATCTAACATTTTTCTTTTTCTTTTCTTTCTTTCTTTCTTTCTTTCTTTTTTTTTTTTTTTTTAGAGACAGAGTTTCACTTTATTGCCCTCAGTAGAGTGCCAAGGCGTCACAGCTCACAGCAACCTCCAACTCCTGGGCTTAGGAGATTCTCTTGCCTTAGCCTCCCGAGTAGCTGAGACTACAAGCACCTGCCACAGTGCCCGGCTATTTTTTGTTGCAGTTTGGCTGGGGCCAGGTTCAAAACCACCACCCTCGGTATATGGGACCAGTGCCCTCCTCACTGAGCCACAGGCACCACCCTATTTTTCTTTTTTAATTTATCTTTTGGAGACAAAGTCTCACTCTGTTGCCTAATCTGGACTCAAACTCCTGGGCCTAAGCAGTCCTCCTACATCAACCTCTAGATTATCTAGGACTAGAGACATGTGCCACCCTGTCTGGCTCTTTACTATCTTTAATATTAAGTGGCTTATTGCAATTTCCTTCAGTCTGGAATAAAATGAAACCAAATATTTAAAAATTTATCTTTTTTCTTATCAATTTATAATAATTCAGCAAAGTTTAAGTTAATAAACCAATTAAAACTTGAGATTACTGAGGGAAGATGGTGGACTAGAAGCAGTCAGTGAGCATTGTGCTCTCAAGCAAAGTATTTGCAGCAGATGCCTACCTACAGATAGCTGTTCTCAAAAGGAACGCTGAAATCACAGAGAAGCAATGTGAGACACTCAGTGTGGAAAAGAAAATGATGCAGCAATACATTCAACGAGGTTGAGGGGCTCTGTGAGGAGGCATCTACAGGTAAGGAAGATTAGGAGGATAGAATAATAGGACACTGCATTCACCCCACAAGCACTGTGGCTGAGTTGTGAGAGGGCTCCCTTCACCACCACAGGCCTCTCTATCTGGACAGACAATTGAGCTGCTTAGAGTATGTGCAGAGTCATTGCACCAGACAACAGGTACAATATGGATGTGGTGACAACTGATCCTGCGTTTCTCCAGCTGACACAATATTGTATTCTCAGATACATAGTACTAGATTGGCATGGGACTCAGCCTTGCAGCAGTGGCCTTCACATAACCTTCACTGGCTTGGGATAGAGTAGTCTAAGGAGAGGGTCCTCTGAGCCGCATCCTGTGATTGGAAGCCAGATGACCTTTCCTTCCAGAGTGGGAGGATCTGAGCAGAGGAGTTGCCGGGGCACTATCAGCTCCAAGATGGAAGCTTTGTGCAACTGCTTCATTAAGCCTGTGGTCCCTGGGCAACTGGAGCCAAGCCCCACCTGTGTAGGGTAACCAGATTTTAACATCGGTAAGGTGGGACATGGCCGGGGGGCGGGGCGGGGCAGGGGATGGGGCAGGGCAGGGCCTGACAACAATGCAAACTTTGATAAGCAGTTCTCGATAATCACTTCTCAGCAATTATTTGTTATTACTACAGTTTAACATTATAAAATTAACAAAAATAATATAAAACTCATATTCTGGCAAAATAGCCACATGCAGCAGAAAACCGTATGTTCCCTTCCTGTTCTCCCACCTGTTCACGCATTCTTTCCAAAAATCAGGATTTTTTATTCTTTTTTTTTTTTTTATTGAATGGTATTCTGGCAAAATAGCCACATGCAGCAGAAAAC